TTTTATATTTTTGTTTTGTCTCCTCCTGTATTTTGGCAAACTCCTGAAATATATAATGTGCATATTTTAGATCACAGGGCTTTTATATTTTTGTTTTGTCTCCTCCTGTATTTTGGCAAACTCCTGAAATGTGCATATTTTAGATCACAGTGCTTTTATATTTTTGTTATATCTCCTCCTGTATTTTGGCAAACTCCTGAAATGTGCATATTTTAGATCACAGTGCTTTTATATTTTTGTTATATCTCCTCCTGTATTTTGGCAAACTCCTGAAATGTGCATATTTTAGATCACAGTGCTTTTATATTTTTGTTTTGTCTCCTCCTGTATTACTACTACTAATTCTTATAATAAATAATAATAATACTATATTAATGAATAAAATAGTATGCCGAGCCCATTAGCATCTGATCCAATCAGGGCTCAGCCATGTGTTTAGTGTCTATTTTGAACCAATAGAAATTGCATTGCGGTAACATTTATCCAATTAGAGATAAATCCTTATATTGGCGCTATAACAGTAAATGGAAATATTTACTGATACTTAAACTATAAATGTGTTTTAGAGCTTTTTCCTTATTCTTTTCTTCTTAAGTTTTTCTTTAATATTTTAGCTAGAAGCAATAAAAATTCTTCAATCACTTTTGCTTTTGCTTTTTTCTTCATCATGCATCTTATCCAGATTTTGCTTTTTAAAAGTTATCTCCAGAATTATTTTATTCCAAAATCTCGTGTTGTATTTCCTTGTTTGATATGAGTATATGTAAGCATGTGTATATGATGTTCATGTTTATCAACATGAATACTAGGGTTCACCTGTCCCAAACCCTAGGCTCATGATACCTGAAACCTTGTTGAGAGACACCCCCCTAAACCTGGCACATCCAGACATTAAATTACATAATTATAAGCATAACATTTTTTGTAAATCATAAAAAAGATAGAATTTCATCAATTTTTAAAAAATTTGTTCCAGACTTTGGCGTATATAGTTCCGACAGGATTTTATGCATTACTGTTCTTGAAGTTTTTACTTTCACAAATGTCTGGCCTTCACAGTACACTGTAATACATTACACAGTTTACAGAGCCCAAAACTTAAGACAGGTTATCGTTATGAAATCCAGTTTCGCAAACCGGGTTTCACGAATGGGTGAGGAAATTTTGTAGAAATCTTAATATTTTTGTTGGGAAATATTTTTTTGTATGATTAGATTTCATTTATATTTCTATACTGTTTTCTTAATGTAAATCTACACAAATGTTAAGCCCCCCCCCCCCCAAAAAGGAAACTCTAGCGTTTCATTCTCCGATACCCTTTAGGATGCAGTAAACTTTGAATAATTACATTGATTAATAATTACATTTACAGTACCGTTTACAGTTCACATTCACAGTAAATAGTATAAAATGAAACTGTGGTACACAATAGAAATTGTACACAATAGAGATTGTACACAATAGAGATTGTACACAAAAGAGATTGTACACAATAGAGATTGTACACAATAGAGATTGTACACAATAGAGATTGTACACAATAGAGATTGTACACAATAGAGATTGTACACAATAGAGATTGTACACATTATATTGTACACAGTTATCAGAAGTTCACGGTATCTAAAAATCAATATCATTGTCATTTATTTTCTTCAAAATTTTTTTTTTAACTAACCTTTTCCCTTTTTCTTTTATTTTCTCTTATTTGTATTTTATGATCTTTCTTAGTTTCATTTACCATATCAAAATATATAATACAGAATACAGATCTCAGAAAGCAGATTAAGAATACAGACTACAGAACACAAAATACAGATTACCAAAAAAAAACACGAAATACAGAATTCCTTGCAGCTTAAAACATTCCTTGAATAGATTAGAATTCAAGAATTCAAGAAAAGTTAAAATTTTCCACCTGACCCTTTAAATCTTTCAATAACCCGGATATTTGGGAATCAATAGGTTCGAGTTTTTTATCGATGCAAAATGTAATTTAGTGTCGCAAAAATTTGGCAAAATCGCAATTTAGAGCTGAATTTATTTCATAGTTAACTCATTCGGAATTTTGACCCGAATTATCTTTACGAGTTTTAAATTCTAAAAGAAGAAAGTCGACAATAATAACACAGCAATAAAATACAGGGTGTTCCAGATAATTGCAATAAAATACAGGGTGTCCCAGATTATTGTCATAAAAAAACAGGGTTATACAGAATATTGTAATAAAATACAGGGTGTCCCAGATTATTGTTATAAAATACAGGGTGACACAGAATATTGTAATAAAATACAGGGTGTCCCAGATTATTGTAATAAAATACAGGGAGTCTCAAATTATTGTTTTAAAATAAAGGGTGACACAGAATATTGCCGTGAAATACAGGGTGTACCAGATTATTTTAATAAAATACAGGGTGTCTCAGATTATTGTTATAAAATACAGGGAGTCCCAGATTATTATTATAAAATACAGGGAGTCCCAGATTATTATTATAAAATACAGGGTGACACAGAATATTGCTATGAAATACAGGGTGTCCCAGATTATTTTAATAAAATACAGGGTGTCCGTAACTATGTTGTGCCCGGCATTGCCATATAGGTGTATATTTTTGTGCACATTAATTCTCTCTCTGTTTACCCGCACTTGGTCTATATCACCTCCAATGTACCTGTGGGTAATCCTTTTCAGTCCATTTGGTCCAGCCGTTTGGCCAGGTAAAGCTAATATATATATAAGAGCTTTATTATTTAAAGAATCAGCTTCAAATTAAAATATATTTCATGATTTTTCTATACATAATGTTTCATGCTTTACGGCAATCACCAGTAGATGAATAAGACCTTTATTATAAAGATAGTACAAGGTTCCCAAAATTTTAAAATAATGTATATACTGTAACATTTTTTAAAAAAGTACTTATCATTTCGAAACATTGAAAAAATCAAAAGTTAAAAGTTTATTTTTACCAATAAATAAATTTTACAAAAAATATATTAGCAATCGATCATGTATAAGCTGAGGAAAAGAAGGCTTTCCCGGCATTCTAAAAACATAGAAAACTTGTAAAATAATTTCTTAAAGCTTGAATGCAGAAATTAATGCTAAAATATACTGAATCAAGAAAACAAAAATTTACAAATTTTTGAAGGAAAACATTTTTTTTGAACAAAAAAGAAAAGATTTAAAAATTTAAATGTTTGATGCAACCTCATTACTTACTTTCAAAAAGGAAAAAAATTAAAGCATTTTTTGTTTTTCTACATTTATATTGTTTTTATTGTTCTAATCTTACTTTCTAGTCTTTTCGTTAGTTTTGCTAATTGCACTTTTTTTTAAATCTCTTATATTCTCAACCCCCTGCACCCTTCAAGATCAGATTTGTCGGTCAACTATTCATGTTTCATAACTCCCCCCCCCCCTGAGATATTTTTGTTTTGTCTCCTCCTGTATTACTACTACTAATCACCCATAATATCTTCCAATTTGAGTTTGTTTACAAACGAACACGTGTCTGCACGTGTTCTACTCAACTTATTACATACATATACAGGATACAGGATACATATACAGTATGGGGCAAATCATTACAGATATAAAGATGTAGAGTACAGTCTTCAATATATTTTAATCAATTGTTCTCAGGTATCTTTTTTATTTTTATCTTTTTGGAATCCTTCCCACTTCTTTCTCCCAACCTTCCAAAATGATCTGCACAGTGCACATGTCTTCATGGATTATACTTCTGTAGCTTTGGATATGAATATTTTAAAGTAGTATATAATGTGCACATTTAAATCACAGGGCGTTTGTTTCTTGTCTCTTCCATGTACCGAATTTAATGAATTTGAGCTGAATTACCTACACCGGTTCAAATCCGGTATCACCGGTTCAAAGCTAAAGATTCACGAAGTTTAAAACGCTAATTCTGGATTTACCCCGGCTACAAGTAGTTCAGTGACCTCTCCAATTCATTTAATTCTGTCCTTGGATATCATTATTCTGTTTTCCTGTTGTATAGGACCTCTTCTTATTCTTCATTCTCGTGAAATTTTTTTTATACTGTATAATCGATGCTATATCGTTTGCACTAATGTCCGATTGAACTAACGTACTTTTGCACTAAAGTCAGCTGATCAGTAAAACTTGTTGCCGCAGCTAGCCTGTCCTAGCCGCGGCACTCGGCCCCCTAGCCTGTCATAGCCGCAGCGCTCGGCCCAGAAATTGTCCTAGCCTAACCTAACCCTCAAATAAAACGTTAGTCCCAATGAACGTTAGTGCGAATGTACGTTAGTCCGATCAATCATTAGTGCAAACGATACGACACCAAAAAATCAATAGATTTTCTTCTAGGGTTGGGATTTGTTTAAACACGATCTAAACTTTTCTTCTCTCATTACTTTTTTTTCTTTATTATGTGTATCCTATTCAAAGGAGTTGAGTCTTTGCCAAAAACTCTAATTTTCTCATCCCCATATTTTTGCAACCCAATGTTGTACACCTTAGATGATGGAAACTATGAATTCTGTTAGATTAAATAATCTAAAGCAGTATAACGCTTGTAGTAGCTACATTTTGGCAAACTCCTTAAAAATATAATGTGCATATTTTAGATCACAGGGCTTTTATATTTTTGTTTTGTCTCCTCCTGTATTTTGGCAAACTCCTGAAATGTGCATATTTTAGATCACAGTGCTTTTATATTTTTGTTATATCTCCTCCTGTATTTTGGCAAACTCCTGAAATGTGCATATTTTAGATCACAGTGCTTTTATATTTTTGTTTTGTCTCCTCCTGTATTTTGGCAAACTCATGATGATGTAGAAAAACATCAATTCTGTCCTATAGGACTAGTGATGATGTAGAAAAACATCAATTCTGTCCTATAGGACTGATGATGATGTAGAAAAACATCAATTCTGTCCTATAGGACTGGTGATGATGTAGAAAAACATCAATTCTGTCCTATAGGACTGATGATGATGTAGAAAAACATCAATTCTGTCCTATAAGACTGATGATGATGTAGAAAAACATCAATTCTGTCCTTTAGGACTGATGATGATGTAGAAAAACATCAAAATATATTTCCTACTTTGAAGTTGTGAATTCTAAAGATAGAGAACACTTTTAACCAATTCGGATTTTTACAAATAAAATCACACTGCTGAAGAAATAAAAAAAAGAAAGAACATCGTTTTGAAATTAACTATGGTTCTTCCTTATAACATTGCTTGGAATTTTGTTGATTAAAAAGTGCTTGTTTATATTTTGTTACCTTGAGCTTGTTAACCTTCTCAAAATAAACCTTCTCTGTTTCCCTAAACAACTCAATTTAAAGTGGGTGTAAGCCTAGTTTCAAACATATATCTGATGATGAAGGTTTAAAAGTGTTAACTTCTGGATGTTTTTCTCCAGTAAAAATGCAAAAGTCACTTTTGTATAGAGAAACCACAATTGAAAATAATCAGTTTTCAAGATTATAAACATTGATATCTAATTAATATTTAATCAGAAAAAGTTTAAGGGTACCGTTGTGAAGCGTACACTGGAGCCATGTTTGCATGAATAATCACTAGAAATTACGCACACTGTCCCTTTAACATACAGGGTGTCCCACGAAACATGACAGTATGCAGGACGACTTGAATATCGTCTTGATTATTGATATAATTTGCTGCGTTTATTTATCAATCTAATTTTAGAAGTAAATTTCTAGAGATAATAATCACAAAATTTCCCTTGTCCTGCCATTTCCAAAATGTGGTCTGCCTTTTTTGTGCTTTCAATATTGCCCGAGATATGAAGAATTTCGTTCAGATTTCGACAATTTTGCTTTTATTTAACAAAATTGAAATCTGAACCAAACTCTTTATATCTCCGGTAATATTGAAAGCACAAAAAACGCAGACCACTTTTTGGAAATGCCAGGGCTAGGAGAATTATGTGATAATTGTTTCAAGAATCATACATGTTAAAGTAGATAGAAGACTAAATGTCACAAATAAATTCAAATACCAAAGACGACTTTCAAGTCGTCTTCCTATTGTCATGTTTCGTGGGACACTCTGTATCTTCACACTGCAACCATCTTTGAATGAATAATCACAAGAAATTACTCTTACGGTCCCTTTCACATACTTCACACTGCACCAAATAGTTCAGCTCTCACTCAAACAATAATAAGGATTTGCCTATTATGTCTAAAGCTACTAAAAAGTATAAAAGGTAAAACCTAAGGGTTAAGGTGTTGTGACATTTCAAAATGGACACGGTCTTAAGGCTGAATGCAGTACTTTCGTAGTTGGCTTAAACTAACTTCAGATCAAGAAAGTAGCATGTCATTAATCAGCAAAAACACTTAAACTAACTTCAGGCCAAGAAAGTAGCATGTCATTAATCAGCAAAAACACTTAAACTAACTTCAGGTCAAAAAAGTAGCATGTCATTAATCAGCAAAAAAACTTAAAATCAAGAAATAAAAACAGGCAAAAGCAAACCTGAGAATTTGATCTTCACTTTTCTCGACAATCTGAGATCTGTAAAAATGATCAGAATTTTCTAAATCCGTTTCCTTGTTTTTAGCTTTTCTCATTAATTCCTGCTTCTCTTGGTACCTAAAACAGTCTAGAGTAGATTCAAGATGTTGTCAATATTAAAATAATTATATTTCTAAACCTTTTCTCTCTCAGAGTTTTTTCGATAATACGCTCACGCTTGGATTCTCGATCAAACATGATGCCTTAAACAAACTCAATTAAATTGGTAAAAAAACGAAAAAGCAAAAAATGCAGATTATATTTCTGTTAAACTTATTTTTGTTAGAACCTGCTGCTAGCTTCTCTGATTTTGTGCACTGTTCAAGTTCTTCGTTTGGTCTAAACAAACACTTCAACTTTTCTGTTTAAAAAAAAAAAAAAATTCCACTAATTCCAATTTTTCAATCCTTTTGTTTTTTCAGCCTGACGTCGTATACCTTTGATATTTAAAACTATAAATTCTTGAAATTTGAAATGTCAAAGGTTTGCATTCAGATGGCAAAGATATTGGGATAAGAAAAATAGAGCTTGTGGCAAGTTATACCTTCATTTATTATTTATTGAGTTGAATTATTAAGAAACTCTGTGATGGATTTGACAAAAAGCTGGACATTTTTAAGAAATACATTTGTAGAAATCAGTTATTTACCTGAAAACTGTAACAGTCCCATCGTCGGCTCCGACCGCTAAGATTTGACCGGCAGGATGCGGAGCTAACACTCGTACAGCACAATGTCTCACCTTGTGCATGAAATACTGTACAGTTCAGTTGCAGTTTTTACATGAAGTTCTGTACAGTTCCTCACCTTGTACAATTTGCACATAAATTACGATACAGTTTCTCACATTGTACAGGTTGAATAAGAATACTGTTCAGTTCCCAACCTTGAAAAGTTTGTACATAAATTACTGTACACCTCACCTTGTACAGTTTTTACATGAAGTAATGTACAGTTCCTAACTTTGTACAGTTTGTACATGAACAACTGTACAGTTTTTCACCTTGTAAAAATTGTACTTTAATTACTGTACAGTTCCTCACCTTGTACAGTTTGTACATGAACAACTGTACAGTTTTTAAACTTGTCAAGTTTGTATATGAATTACTGTACAATTCCTCACATCGTGCAGTTTGTACATAAATAACTGTACAGTTTTTCAACTTGTCAAATTTTTACATGAATTTCGGTACAGTTTGTAAATAAAGTACTGTGTTCTTTGTAGTTCTTCACCTTGTACAATTTGTACATAAAAACTGTACAGTTTCTCACCTTTTACAGTTTGTACAAGAATTATTGTACAGTTTCTCACCTTGTACAGTTTTTACATGAATTACTGTACAGTTTCTTACCTGTACAGTTTGTAAATGAATCACTCTACAGTTTCTCACCTTGTAAAGTTTGTACATGAATTACTGTACATTTTCTCACCTTTTACAATTTGCTCATGAACAACTGTACAGTTATTCTACTTGTCAAGTTTTTAGATGAACTACTATACAATTCCTCACATTCTACAGTTTGTACATGAATTTCAGTACAGTTTGTACATAAAGTACTGTGTACTGTATAGTTCTTCACCTTGTACAATTTGTACATGAATTTCTGTACAGTATCTCCCCTAGTCCAGATTGTAAATAAAAAACTGTACAATAACTCATCTGGTACAGTTAGTACGTGAATTACTGTACAATTTTTCATCTTGTATACAGATTATACATGAATATCTGTACAGTTAGTCACCTTGTACAGGTTGAATATGAAGTACTGTAAAATTTCTCACCTTAAACAGTTTGTACATGAGTGTCTGTACACTTTCTCACCTTGTACGGATTGTACATGAATTACTGTGTAGCTCCTTACCTTTTTCAGGTTGTACATTAATAACAGTACAGTTCCTCACCTTGTAAAGTTTGTACAAGAATTGCTGTACAATGTACAATTCCTCACCTTGTACAGTTTGTTCATTGATTACTATACGGTTCCTCACATTGTACAGTTTGTACTTGATTTGCAGTACACTACCCCGCTTGCTGCAGTTTGTACATGAATTTCTGTACATTCTTCATTTTGTACAATTTGTACAAGACGTACTGTACAGTTCTTCAATTCGCAATTTTACGAATAAAAGGCCCTTCTCACATAATGTAAACAAATATATTCTTTATTTCCGAATAGGATTATACACATGGTATCCTTTTTTGGTCTGGACCAGCTGATGATGCAAAAAATAAAAGTACTCTTGATGGGTAGCAATATATCCATTTCTCAATAAATAAACTAAAATTTTAAATCTGAACAAGGTATTTTTATCTGATGATGGAGGTGTGTGGGGGGGGGGGGAGGTTAAATCTTCTGATAATTTATTACAGCAATTAAATGTCCGCTTTAATTAGATAATTTGCAACTGTTTAGTTTCAACTTTCTATGGATTGACATTTAAGAAAACATTTAATTCAGTCGTTAAATCGATGCATTATTTCAGACATTAAATGACATTAATTAAAATGTATTCTAAGTTAGAGGAACAGTAGACGTAATTTCAAGGAACTCTTATTTAGAAAAAAAGGCATGTCTGATTCCCAACTGTACTCTATAAACATCTATCTGAGTAACACCAAGAAAGATCTTTTAATTAAAATTGTTCAATTCTTTTAATTTCCTACACTGTCTCTAAAGCATACATGTGCAGGTCACGTTAACCATATTTGAAAAAAATCAATTTCAGCTTGATGAATAAAGATATCTCATTTAAAATTTTTCAAATAAACAAAGGTCTGATTACTCGCCTTAAACTGTAAACTTTTAATCCTTATATCATAAATAAATTATATTTGCTTGATCAATTAGTCAAAGTTTGAAATTTCAAAGGTTCACACCATCATCAGGTTGCGAAGATTAGATAATTAGAATTTGAGGATATTTAAATATTTAGAAGAAGAATGCAGTACCTTATGTGAGATGATAGGAGATCTTTGTGAGTACATAATATCCCAGATCTGTAAACTTTACATTGTAAACAACTTCTTCTTGTAAAAACTAATCAAGAGAAACAAGCAGAAATTGGAACAGAAATTGAATAAAATAAGAAAGATATCGGGAAAAGTAAACTACAAAAAGATGAAGGACATGGTTACCCTCAAAGCCATATTTCATACATTCATTTCAAGATCACATGAAATCATACCTACAGTTCCTTTAAAGGGACTGTCAGCATAATTTCAAGTTACCCTCGATGCAAAGATGCCAATGCCCGATATCCTTAAATGCTTTGTCTGATCAAGTATGAATTAAATATTTTTGTTTCTTTAAATTATTTATTAAAAAGAAGCAATCGAGAAAATATCTTCCACATATTTTAGATTAAGGTTTGAAGAGTACCGTTGTAAATCAGGCATTACCATCTTTGCATGGAGGGTCATTTTAAATTACGCTTACAGTTCCTTTAATACTAAATATTGATAAATAAAAACAAAAAAATGTTATAGTTCAATGTTTCCTCAAGAACACCATCGTTTCTTCCAACATAGTAAACGCTGGGACAGCTAACTGACCATCTTAAAAAATATTAAAAAGTTTTTGAAAAATATGTATTTTGATATTTTATCTTACTTTCCACATGTGAGAAGGTCTGGAGCCCATCTTGTTCGTATTATACTTTCCTAAAACATTATCATGCAAAAAAATCTTTAAAAAAAAAACTGTGCCATGAAAATTTAAATACACTTTTTTTTTCTTCTAAAAGGAATTGAGTCTTTGCCACAAACTTTGATTTTCTAATCCCTATATCTCTGCAATCCAATGTCGTAAACAATTGATATTTCAACTATGTATTATGTTGGATCAAATAATCTCAGTTAAAATATCATCATTTTACTCCATCAGGTTGCAAAGATGCAAGGATTAGAAAATATGAGTTTGTAGAATCGCCTTAATTCCTTTACTACGTTTTAATGATTTATTAAATGGCTAGAAAGTAAAATTCTATTCTATTAATAAAATGTATCAATGTGTAAACCTGTATATCCTCGCACAAACCTGAATATCCTCGCACAAACCTATCCTCGCACAAACCTGTATATCCTCGCACAAACCTGAATATCCTCGCACAAACCTGAATATCCTCGCACAAACCTGAATATCCTCGCAAAAACCTGAATATCCTCGCACAAACCTGTATATCCTCGCACAAACCTGAATATCCTTGCACAAACCTGAATATCCTCGCATAAACCTAAATATCCTCGCAAAAACCTGAATATCCTCGCACAAACCTGTATATCCTCGCACAAACCTGAATATCCTCGCACAGACCTGAATATCCTCGCACAAACCTGTATATCCTCGCACAAACCTGAATATCCTTGCACAAACCTGAATATCCTCGCACAAATCTGAATATCCTCGCAAAAACCTGAATATCCTCGCACAAACCTGTATATCCTCGCACAAACCTGAATATCCTCGCATAAAATGTTCGTTCTCCAGTCACCAACTGTTAAAAATATCTAAAAATAAAAACAAATTTTTTAAAAATCTTTTCCAAACCAACCATGCTGTATAAGATGTGGTTTTTGGCATGATTTGACGTTCGGTGACAAAAAATCTACAGTTGCCAAATTTGAGCAAGATTGCTAGACTATAATCATTTGCGAAAATGACAAAACGGAGGACGTGCAAAGATGTGCATTAGATTTTACCTTGTAAGAAAAAGGATCTGAGCTTTTGCCACAGAGTCAATAGAATTCATAATTTGAAATACCTAAGGTCTAGCATATTGGGTTTCAAAGATATAGGGATTATAAACTCAGAGTAGACTGGACCGACCTTATAATATGTTGGATTTCTATGTAAAGAGTAAGAAGACTGGAACTATACCTTAGGATAGGTTGGGTTTCTATGTCTAGAGTAGTCTGAACCTACCTTAGGATACGTTGGGTTTCTATGTATAGAGTAGACTGGACCTACCTTAGGATAGGTTGGATTTCTATGTATAGAGTAGACTGGAACTATACCTTAGGATAGGTTGGGTTTCTATGTATAGAGTAGACTGGACCTACCTTAGGATAGGTTGGGTTTCTATGTATTGATTAGACTGGACCTACCTTAGGATAGTTTGGGTTTCTATGTATTGAGTAGACTGGACCTATACCTTAGGATAGGTTGGGTTTCTATGTATAGAGTAGACTGGACCTACCTTAGGATAGGTTGGGTTTCTACGTATTGATTAGACTGGACCTACCTTAGGATAGGTTGGGTTTCTATGTATAGAGTAGACTGGACCAGGGACCTACCTTAGGATAGGTTGGGTTTCTTGTATTGATTAGACTGGACCTACCTTAGGATAGGTTGGGTTTCTATGTATAGAGTAGACTGGACCAGGGACCTACCTTAGGATAGGTTGGGTTTCTATGTATTGAGTACACTGGACCTACCTTAGGATAGGTTGGGTTTCTATGTATTGAGTAGACTGGACCTACCTTAGGATAGGTTGGGTTTCTATGTATAGAGTAGACTGGACCAGGGACCTACCTTAGGATAGGTTGGGTTTCTATGTATTGAGTACACTGGACCTACCTTAGGATAGGTTGGGTTTCTATGTATTGAGTAGACTGGACCTTTACCTTAGGATAGGTTGGGTTTCTATGTATAGAGTAGACTGGACCAGAGTGAGCAGAATAGGAATTAACAATCTTCTCAATTCCTTCACCTTTTCTAAAGACACAGGAATTAATTACTCGCCTCAAACTCTTATTTTTTAATATTTATATCTATGCAACACTGAGATGGTAACTCTTGTATTGCAGATATCTAGCTCAATGCTTGATCTCGATCTTTTGTTAATCTGCAGATTAATTTAACCTTTTTTTATATACGCAGCGTAATTGTACCCTGAAGGGATAACTGATATTAAGAGATTAAACCTACAGTGGATATTGATATCAAGTGACTGATATTAAACCTACAGTGGATATTGATATCAAGTGATTGATATTAAACCTCCAGTGGATATTGATGTCAAGTGACTGATATTAAACCTACAGTGGATATTGATATCAAGTGATTGATATTAAACCTCCAGTGGATATTGATATCAAGTGACTGATATTAAAAGTTTTGAACATTAAAGGTTCACACTATCAGGATTCAAATAAAATATTATAAAGTTAGAGTTTAAGACGAGATATTTGATAATTTATAATAAATTTCTTAAAATCAAGATTGGATATTGACCTGAAGCACCCGTACACGTTCCCCTGGTTGGTTCCGACCATGAACCTGATTGGGATGGATGGTTCGAACTCCATACAGCTCACACTCTCAGCCTGGTCTCTTGAACCATGCTCCGGGTCCATCACAAGAGTGTCCAGTGGTTTAGAAAGGGATCGAATATCCCACCATTTAACCATACCGTCTCCCGAACCTAGGACAAATTGATTTATAAAGGTCGACAAAGGTCAATATAATCGCCGCTGAGTGCTATTAAAGATTTAGCAAGGAAGTAAGGAAATCAGAGAACAACGATATCTTTCTCATAATTACTTTCTTAAAATAATGTCAACATTGAAAATGATTAATACCTGTGATGAATTCTGAATAGGATTTCATAGGACTCGTCCATAGAGTGCTGTACACAGGTTCAGTATGACTAGTCTCATGACCTAGGTTTAAATTTTAAACAATACAAGATATCTTGAACCAAGGAGAATTGAATAGAAGGAGGGGGCGATAGGGTTTCCGTCCACTTTGCTGTGACGTTTTTGGACTGCTGAAGAACTAGTTTTTGCGTAACAACAATAATAAAGGCAGCCGATATAATGTAAACAAACATAAGTTAGTATACGGTGAATCTTCATCTAACGCAGAGATGCCAGATTTGTGTTGTTGTTTACAATCTTTATTACTGTTGTTACGCAAAAACTAGTTCTTCAGCAGTCCAAAAACGTCACAGCAAAGTGTTCGGAAACCCTATTGCCCCCTCCTTGTATTCAATTCTCCTTGTCTTGAACAACCAACAAAACAAGTGGACAAAAGTTTTTAAGGTTTCTTGGCTCAAAAAGCACCCCAAAAATGCAACTTCATCTCATTGATTAATACTCAATTATGTAATATCGATCAGATTTATTTGCTTCCTTAATGCTTGTCTAGGGTCACCAACCCATGGTATGATACTAGTACAACTTTACGACCTCGGAAATCCTCATTATTCTATTTATCACTCAATAATGAGAAAGCAAATTTATTTGGCTTCATATCAGGATTTTAAAACCTTCAGTCAGGAGCTTTACAGGCAAAAGGAGTTGTGCTTAAAAATATGTAGGATTTTAATCTAAAATAAAATTTACTTTAGTATAATGTAGCAGTTTAATGCATGTACCTGTAATCAGAACAGGTTTACTTGCTATCCTAGAGTCCCATATACCGGCCTGTCCGAAATGGGTTCCTCCAGCTAATATGTCCACCTACAGACATAAAAAGAATTATCAATAATAAATTTCGATATTCAGAAATATTTAGAAACTAGCCAAATTCTACTCTACAGATCTACTCTACAGATCTACTCTACAGATCTACTTTACAGATCTACTCTACAGATCTACTCTACAGATCTACTCTACAGATCTACTCTACAGATCTACTCTAAAGATCTACAATATTCGATTTCACTGCAACTCCAACATCTTGGAGACAATGGAGCATAGCGTCAATATCTTGGAGACAAAGGAGCATAGCATCAATATCTTGAAGACAATGTAGCATACCATCAATATCTTGAAGACAATGTAGCATAGCATCAATATCTTGGAAACAATGGAGCATAGCATCAATATATTGGAAACAATGCAGCATAGCATCAATATCTTGGAGACAATGGAGCATAGCATCAATATCTTGAATACTGTGGACCATAGCATCAATATCTTGAAGACAATGGAGCATAGCATCAATATCTTGAAGACAATGGACCATAGCATCAAAATCTTGAGTACTATGGACCATAGCATCAATATCTTGAAGACAATAGAGCATAGCATCAATATCTTGAAGACAATGGAGCATAGCATCAATATCTTGAAGACAATGGAGCATAGCATCAATATCTTGAAGACAATGGACCATAGCATTAATATCTTGAATACAATAGAGCATAGCATCAATATCTATACCTCACAGGGGTTGAACATGAGAGAAGTAATATGGCTTGGAGATCCTAGAGTTGATATTTGTTTGGAGGAATCCTATAATTAGAAAATATTTAATACATTAGAGTTATTTAGAATTTGAGAAAACATGAGGTTCAATATACCCTGATTTCTGGAATGAAGTGTTCAGTTTATCCTGATATCTGGAATGTAGTGTTCAGTTTATCCTGATATCTGGAATGGAGGTTCAGTTTACCCTGATATCTGGGATGTAGCGTTCAGTTTACCCTGATATCTGGAATGTAGTGTTCAGTTTACCCTGATATTTGGAATGTAGCGTTCAGTTTACCCTGATATCTGTGATGTAGGGTTCAGTTTACCCTGATGTCTGAGATGTAAGGTTTAGTTTACCCTGAAATCTGAGATGTAAGGTTTAGTTTACCCTGATATCTGAGATGTAATTGGTTCAATTTACCCGATATCTGAGATGTAAGGCTTAGGTACCCTGATATCCAATTTGTAAGGTTCAGTTTAACCTGATATCTGAGATGTAAGGTTCAGTTTACCCTGATATCTGAGATGTAAGGTTTAGTTTACCCTGATATCTGAGATGTAAGGTTTAGTTTACCCTGATATCTGAGATGTGAGGTTCATTTTACCCTGATATCTGAGATGTAGGGTTCAGTTTACCCTTATATCTGATATGTAGGGTTCAGTTTACCCTGATATCTGAGATGTAGGGTTCAGTTTACCCTGATATTTGAGATGTAGGGTTTAGTTTACCCTGATATCTGAGATGTAAGGTTCAGTTTACCTGATATCTGAGATGTAAGGTTTAGTTTACCCTGATATCTGAGATGTAGGGTTAAGTTTACCCTGATATCTGAGATGTAAGGTTTAGTTTACCCTGATATCTAAGATGTAAGGTTCAGTTTACCCTGATATCTGGGATATGGGATTCAGTTTACCCTGATATCTGAGATGTAAGGTTTAGTTTACCCTGATATCTGAGATGTAAGGTTTAGTTTACCCTGATATCTGAGATGTAAGGTTCAGTTTACCCTGATATCTGAGATGTAAGGTTAAGTTTAGCCTGATATCTGAGATGTAAGGTTTAGTTACCATATGTGAGATGTAGGGTTCAGTTTACCCTGATATCTGAGATGTAAGGTTCAGTTTACCCTGATACCTGAGATGTAGGGTTCAGTTTACCCTGATATCTCAGATGTAAGGTTTAGTTTACCCTGATATCTGAGATGTAGGGTTCAGTTTACCCTGATATCTGAGATGTAGGGTTCAGTTTACCCTGATATCTAAGATGTAAGGTTTAGTTTACCCTTATATCTTAGCTTTAAGGTTCAGTTTACCCTGATATCTGAGATGTAAGGTTCAGTTTACCCTGATATCTGAGATGTAAGGTTCAGTTTACCCTGATATCTGAGATGTAGGGTTCAGTTTACCCTGATACCTGAGATGTAGGGTTCAGTTTACCCTGATATCTGAGATATAGGGTTAAGTTTAGCCTGATATCTGAGATGTAAGGTTTAGTTACCATATCTGAGATGTAAGGTTCAGTTTACCCTGATATCTGAGATGTAAGGTTCAGTTTACCCTGATATCTGAGATGTAAGCTTCAGTTGATGATTGCTCCTTGTATTCCTGGAACTCCCAAGGAGAGAAGGAGACTGCCATCTGGCAATCCTGGATACAGGAGCAGATCAAGGTTGATTAAACCCAAGGATAAGTTAGCACTTAGTTTACTTATGAGATAAGGCCGGATAGGACGCAGAAAATGAAAATAATGTTTTATGCTTGAAAGATAGGCGTCAACCACAAGGAACATGCATCAGATATTCTCATAGTTTTTCTGTATATTTTCTGGAAACTGTTATACTTAACTTTCTATCCTTTGCTATTACCATCCTTGGGTTAAGGGGTATTTAATTTGTTAATATGACGCAGGGTTGAGTTCATACAATAACAAGGGGGGGAGGGGGTGGCTTGTTTATGAAAGCCAATGGGAACAAACATAAAGTTTAAAGAAAAAAATTCTACGTTTGGATTGAAACACAATCAGACTTATTCTTTATTTTTGAGATCTTACATGTCCAGCCTTCCATGTTATCGAACTAACACATCTCTCATCTCCACTAAATGAGTAAATATTTTTTTTTTCAATTCAATAGCTCGTAACTCATATATATATTTCAATACCTGAAATCCTTGATGAGATGAACTCCGGTTATACCGGGAGCTGTTGATTGAACCGAGAATACATTGGATTCGTATTCAAAATATTGTTCACACATCTAAACAAACCAGCCTTATATATTGCAATTATTATTTTGTCAACAAAATGAAAATCTACTTTTTAAATCCCCAAATCCGCTTTTGAAAGTTGCAGTGCCATTATGTAAATTGTCAAGATTAGGTCGGAAAAATGAGACACTTGAATACTTTTTAATTTATCTTTAGATGACATCGAACGTAATATATTTTTTTCGAACAGTTAATAGTTTATTCTCTTACCAATTTATTCCATGAAAAAAATGAGCATTTATATCTTGTCAAATTTAAAAATGTTGAGATTTTTTCTGGAACTGTATATACAGGGTTAACAACAATGGATGAGACTTTAGACCACTGTCGTAATTCCTTCAGTTTTTTTTTCTTTGTATTCTTGGTTCAACAAATATAAAGAAATTGTTATCAAAGCAAAATACTAAAAATTCAACCCTCAGATCTTTATCATCAACCCTGTAAATATATGATAGCTTTTCCAGAGCTGAAAACTTTAGAATGGTAGATATTGAGATTAAGGCTTGATCGTCTCATTTTCTTAATATCGAGACTAATCTAATCTTGTACTTGTATCCTAAAAAGTGTATAAAATTTAACCAATCAGAGTCGCGTATATGAAGCCGATAAATTTGAAATTTTGCGCGCCATTTAAGATTATATACAGAAACGAGAGGAACTCTCTAATTTTAAAAACCGGTTTTTGATTTTTCTCTGCTATATCCAAGAAAGAACGGTTTAAGAAGAAAATAAAAAGTGTGTCCATTGGATACCCAGATTAAGTAATCGGGATTAAGGATATCTCATTCTAAAGTGTTCAGCTCAGATTTCTATGGGTTTACCTCTAAAGAATTATTCTGCTTCACAATAGTTTCCGCTCTTAAATATAAGGAAAATTAATTTTATGTATTTTTCAAGGTAAATACCTTACCTTACCTTACAAGGTAAATACCTTACCTGACCTTACAAGGTAAATACCTTACCTTACCTTACAAGGTAAATACCTTACCTTACCTTACAAGGTAAATACCTTACCTTATTCATGATTTATCATAATTGTTTTGTTTAAAATGTACACTTAACTGTGTAAATCCATCTATTTATTTACAATTCTTATTCGTTTATAATGGGCCAACCAATCAAAACAACCAACTCTGGTTAGGCGGTTCCAAACTACAGTACAAACCAGTAAATTGTGATTTTTTATTTGTATTATCTCGTGCTTTGTAGTTGAATAAAAATATGAAATTATATATGAAAATACAATTTCTTCCTACCTCAACATCATTTTTACCAGAGAATATTTGTACATATCGTCTTTTTCACATTTTTTTCTAGAATAATAATTTTTTGTGTAGATAGGTCATAACTAATGTATTGTATTCTTTGAATAATAATCAAAAAATGTTCTATTATGAGTTGAAATAAATTAATACAATGAAAAAATAGCACATTGACTGATTGCTTATAACCATAGAAGAATATGATAGAAAAAGCTTAACTTTTACAATCATTTCCGGTGGAACAAGTTGAAATTAAAAATTACGTAATTTCTTACTTGTATCTATGTATTTCTTACTTGTATCTATGTATTTCTTACTTGTATCTATGTGTTTGCATTCTATCTTCGTGATTAACCTCTTTAGGCCAACCTCCTTCCTTATGGTTCATACTGGAGGAGGTACACAGAATATCCTCTAGATAAATTTATTAAATATAGATTTTTCCCAGATTGTGCCCAGATTGTGTCCAGATTGTGTCCAGATTGCACCCAGATTGTGCCCAGATTGTACCAAGATTGTACCCGGACTGTACCCAGATTGTACCCAGATTTTGCCCAGATTGTACCCAGATTGTATACTCCAGATTGTACCCAGATTGTACCCATATTGTAGCCAGAATGTACCCAGATTGTACCTAGAGTGTACTCAGATTGTGCCAACTTTGTACCCAGATTGTACCAATTTTGTATCCATATTTTACCTAGATTGTACCCCAGATTGTGCCCAAATTGTATCCCAGATTGCACATTAGGTTGTATCCAGATTGTACCCAGATTTTACCCAGACTGTTCCAATTTTTTACCCATATTGCACCTAGATTGTACTCCAGATTGTTCCCAAATTGTATCCTAGATTGCACATTAGGTTGTACCCGGATTGTACCCATATTGTATCAGAGATTGTACATTAGATTGCATCCATATTGTTCCCAGCTTGTACATTAGATTGTATCATATTGTACCCAGATTGTTCCCAGTTTGTTTGAGGATTGTACCCCAGATTGTATCTAGATTGTATCCAGATTGTATGCAGATTGTACCCCAGATTGTACTAAGATTGTACCCAGATTGTATCCCAGATTGAACACCAGATTGTATCGAGATTGTACCAAAATTATACTCCAGAGTGTATACCAGATTGTACCCACCTGTATTAGTTGAATGTTCTATAAGAAAAACTCCCAGCTGAGTTTCAGCGTTTAAAGGATTAATTCTTATAAATTCGGAATCTTTATCCTTCTCCTGCTTTACAGAGATGAATCCGGCATCCATACAAGCAGGCCTATCTTCAAACCTACATGGAGTATTATTACAGATCTGATCAGATATATTATGCAAACTCTAAAAGTTGCCTGATTTGTGCCGGTACAACACGTACTAAATTATTGCATATGCATTTAGTCTGACTAGACCCAGTATAAAGAAATATAGCCTGGCTAGTTAATTCAGTTTGATTAAACAGTTTTTAGATTACATTTATGATTACTGATCTATGAATATATTACAATAGTTAAAAAAAACTATGCTTAAAAAAATTGTCTTTATGTATTAGCGTTTGCAACTGTCTTGTGTTAGCAATGAAAAAAGTGTTCCAAAAATATACTAAATAACAAGAAAAAATTATTATGTTTGTTGCTAAATTATTATGTTTGTTGCTAAATTATTATGTTTGTTGCTAAATTATTATGTTTGTTGCTAAATTATTACGTTTGTTGCTAATACTTAATTCCTTAATTTAATTCAAATATTTGTTTTGAGCCAAATCAGACGAACAGACTGAAAACGAAATGAATATTTACTCCAACCTGGGAGAATTGTTGCATTGACGAAGCTTCTTAACAACAACTTGTTCGAACATTGGTTTAACTTCTCTTGGTTCCAAACCTTCTTCTAAACAAAATAAAATCGAGTCTGAAAATTGTCTTTTATAAAATTCATAGAATCAATCGGGTCAAAAAAAGCCCAGTTACGATGGTTGCCATAATAAACTGGAATAAGAAAATGAGCTTAAATAATTTCAAGTATATTTTGTGCTGTTGAAATAAAAACTATTTTTAACATCTTCAACATACGGTTATTTCTAGAAAGCTGTTCAACGCATGAAACAATTTTAAAAGAAGGAGTACCACTCTAATAAAATACAAAAAGTGTTTTCTGAATTTCAAAGTTTTATAACGACCACCTTATTAATTGTTGTCCCAATATCTTTCATTATTTTCATAGAAAGGTCGCCTTTGATATACAGTGACAACCAGAAAACTGTGGAATAGTAAGACGAATTTTAGCATCAAGATTTAACTTTAAAAAAATTCAATGACAACGAAACACAGCAATTGTCCCAGTGTAAAAAAGACCCATTATACAAATTAGTGATTTTATAAGTGTCTGGTAAAACCATTTACTTTGTAACACCATCAAATACACTTAAGTATTGCTATTATGTCGTCTTCCTATTCCATTGTTAAATGGTTATCAATGTATATAGTATTTTTGTATAAATTACCATCACTATCATATTCACTTTCATCTTCATCCTGATTCATTTTCTTCTGGTTACAGGAAACCCTGGGTATAGTATAGATGTGGTGTACACTAGTGTTAAAATAATACTGGTTACAGGAAACCCTGGGTATAGTATGGATGTAGTATACACTAGTGTTAAAATAATACTGGTTACAGGAAACCCTGGGTATAGTATGGATGTGGTATACACTAGTGTTAAAATAATAATGGTTACAGGAAACCCTGGGTATAGTATGGATGTTGTATACACTAGTGTTAAAATAATACTGGTTACAGGAAACCCTGGGTATAGTATGGATGTTGTGTACACTAGTGTTAAAATAATACTGGTTACAGGAAACCCTGGGTATAGTATGGATGTTGTGTACACTAGTGTTAAAATAATACTGGATATAGGAAACCCTGGGGTTAGTATGGATGTTGTGTACACTAGTGTTAAAATAATACTGGATACAGGAAACCCTGGGTATAGTATGGATGTTGTGTACACTAGTGTTAAAATAATACTGGATACAGGAAACCCTGGGTATAGTATGGATGTTATATACACTAGTGTTAAAATAATACTGGATACAGGAAACCCTGGGTATAGTATAGATGTTGTGTACACTAGTGTTAAAATAATACTGGTTACAGGGAACCCTGGGTATAGTATAGATGTTGTGTACACTAGTGTTAAAATAATACTGATTACAGGAAACCCTGGGTATAGTATAGATGTTGTGTACACTAGTGTTAAAATAATACTGGATACAGGAAACCCTGGGTATAGTATAGATGTTGTGTACACTAGTTTAAAAATAATACTGATTACAAGAAACCCTGGGTATAGTATAGATGTTGTGTACACTAGTGTTAAAATAATACTGGTTACAGGAAACCCTGGGTATAGTATGGATGTGGTATACACTAGTGTTAAAATAATACTGGTTACAGGAAACTAAAAGTTGTCAGGTATTCATATAATTACAAAACTTTCCTTGTAATGATTGGCAAAGGAAGAGGGGGATAATTTCACTTGTAAATTGATTGCTATAGACGCACTGAAAACTAGACGAAATGAAAAGGTAAAATTGATATGACATCGCTGGCACTAGTTAGCGACCTCGTAGCTCTTGTTTTGATTTTAAGCACAAGCATGCGAAGAACAATTTTGTCCAGTTCCATATTAGAAATTAAAACATTTTTGTCGGTCTCAATATCACCTCAATAAAAGAGTTATCAATAAAAACATGAAAGATTTCAATCTTACAATTACATTAGTTTGACGTGGGGAGGCTTTCTCAAAAAAAGATATGAAAGAAATTCGAAAATAAAATAAAAAAAGTATAAAATACGAAGGAAGATTCCTAATATTTTAAATCCATAAATTTTTTCATATTATTTTGTGATTACTGTATATGTACTGTAAGCAATGTATCCCTATACTGTAATTACAAGTGTAGAAGAATGAGTAAAACTTTAATAAAAACTTTGTATAAAAAGAAACAAATATGAAGGGAATACAAGTTCTAATCCTATAGTTGTAGGAAAACAATATAGAATAGATATATCACGTTATATTACATTTATTTATATTGACACTTTTATTGATAAAAGAAACAGTTTTTCAATTGAAAACAATCTTCCCCCTTTAATATTAAATTTACATTTTTGCTTTTTATAAAAACCGGGTTTTCTTAGTATTTATCTGTATTTTTGCACATTCAAATAAATCATAAAGAAGAAAATACAAAATTACAAATTATTATTAAATCAAAAATCGTTAAAGATCTAAACGTTAACGAACTTTAAAAATTCGTATCATTAATAAAAAATGGAACAAAATTTCTATGAATGGTGAGCTTTAGAAAAGAAGAAGAGTGAAACGAATGATCCATGTAAAGACCGATCATTAAAAGAACAAGTTTTTTAAATCCCGTGATGCGTTTAAGTCCTGGGACTAAAATATTTAAAAAAAAAGAAATTTTTATAAAATTATCTTTGTTTAACTTTAAGGGTAAAACATATATTTTCTACGTAAAAATATTCATGTACACTGTAGTTGTATTATGTACAAAAAACGTAAAAATATTCATGTACACTGTAGTTGTATTATGTACAAAAAACGTAAAAATATTCATGTACACTGTAGTTGTATTATGCACAGAAACGTAAAAATATTCATGTACACACAGAAATATATTCCCAGTATTGAACAAAGATCTGAGTCTGATTGAAAACAATTCCTCTGGATTAGATTATTTGACATTTCATTGCTAAACATTTATTTTCTTTTCTCCTCCAGTCCGCAGACATTGAAGAAAATAATGTTTGTACAAAACTAATAAAAGTCCGGAAACTGGAAAATATAAAATTGGTCTGGGAGAGGATTTAGAGGATAACCCCTCTCACCAATCCATCAATTAAAAAAATATTGCTAGCCTCCATTTAATTTGTAAAATGCCAAAAAAAAAAATATTTTTAAAATGGGTTTACAGATGAAATCTTTATAGAAAAATGATCAGCATTATTCGTCAGTCGATTAAACCCTTTTTTGAATATTTGTGAAAATTATCAGTAGGTATAGAAGGAATTGAGACATTTTGCCACAAACTCAAATTTTTTTATTCCAAATATGTTTGCAACCTGATGGGGTAAACATAATACATAAACATGATATCTTTTACTTGGTTTATTAAATCTATAAAAATTCATGGTTTGAAATATCTAAGGTCTAACACGTTGGGTTGAAAAGATAGAAGGGTTAGAAAATCAGTGATTATGGCAAAGACTTAATTCCTTGGCAGATTATTGTACAGTGATAACCAGAAAATTCTGGAATAAGAAATCGACTTTTAAACTCAATTTATGACTTTAAATAGCACATTGAACATGAGGTACAGCAATTGGGCAATGTAAACAAACCCATTTTACTTAATATGTAATTTAATAACTTTCAAGTAAAGCTATTTGCTTTAAACGACATCAAATGCACTTTAGAAATGCTATAATGTCCTATTCCACAATTTTCTGTTTATGACTGTAAGCAGACTAATTTATCTAATAATGGAATATTGTAGATTTGTAGAATACTGTACGTAGACCAAATTATCTTAGATTGTTGTAGATATTGTAAATTTGTGTAGAATATTGTAGAATATGATTATGATGTAATTGTGCGAATAATTGGTGAGGACTGGTAAGGATACGATCCTCCTCCCTTGGGATACAACTTCATACTCACAAGAACTTCACGTAGACATCGCACATTTGGGTCTTTACGCAGACATTGAACATTTGGGTCTTCACGCTGGACAGGACATGTGGTCGTTATGCACTTGTAAGACATTTTGGACTTTAAGCAATTTTGCATACAACATTTTTTAGACCTTGCGCAGACATCGGCAATTTGAACTCACGTTTACGTTAAAAACTTTGAATTTCACGTAAACATTGTAAACATGACCACACGCAGGCATTGAACAATTTGAAATTTAAAATATGGAACCTCATTGTTATATTTGAATATTGGACAACATGTAATCATTTGGCTAATGGGATTCAGGCAAATTTATATATAAATTTGGCTTGTCTGTCTGTTTGTTTGTATCCAATAGAAGTCAAAACGGCTGAACCGATCGGGCCCAAATTTTTTGTGGGACATCTAGGGACCCCAGGGAAGGTTTATGAATGATCAAAATTTCAAATATTTGTCTCCATCAAAATTCGATCTCCATTAAATTTTTTAAAATTTTGAAAATCCACGAAATTTTTTGTGAAAATCCGCGAATTATTTTTGTTTTGTTTTACGATGAACACAAAGAGAACATGTTCACAATTAATTTAGAAGATGGGCGCGAAGCGCCCTCTAAGGCTAGTATGGATAAAAGCAACTTCATTGAAAACAAGACACCTTAGAAAATTTAAAATATGACATTCTGTATTGGTATGAATTTCACGATCAACTTAAAAAAAAGATTAATCAGGAACTGTATACGCGCAGGTATAAAAAATGGTACTTTAAGCAGACATGAAATCAGTCTGTACACACAGTCAGATATAGCCTGTTATCTACAGAGTTATAAAATATGACTTCACGTAGACAAGATTTTCAAAGTCTGCGTGAAGTCCAACCATTCAGCAGAAATCATCCTAAATCAAATGAAATGTTGTCCCTGCGGACCTGACTGAACTCCCCCCTTGGCAGAATACACTCTACAGATGCTTTATTATTTGCTCGATTACGAGAACTAAATTAAAACAATTATTTATTTATTCTTTTCATCAAATATTGACGTCCAACTGGATAAAAAAATTATAAACGTTATACCAAAATACTTAAAACCTAAGAATATGGAATCTTGCGGTTTTTCTAGAAAGGAAGTCGCGGATATTACGACACCTTTAAAAAACTGATATTTACTTTAGAATATTACAAAAAAAGTGAAAAAATAAGTTGAGATTTGTGGAACGTGTCGAATTTAAAGGGAGTGACCGGCTATGCAAGGTAATTGAACTGAGTATGCAGTGTTGTCGAAAACTTTTTTAGGATTCATTTGAGACATATTTCACTTTTTAAAGATCTGTAAATCCTGAGTTTGAGCGCAAATTCGACGTTCAAAACTCCTGATTTGGGGGTGGATACGCTTTCAGAATTAGTTTTTTTTTTAAATTATTAAATAACGACAACGAAAAATAAAGTAAAAATTTTACAGTAATCTAATAAGATGGCTAGGAACATATTTCACAAAAGAAATTTGTCAATAAATCAATGCTAAATCGATTATTTCGTTTTCATTAATATATTGAATTTCTAATTTTCTTTGAATTTATTCGCAGATTTCTTCAAATTCTTTAAATGTCGTCTTTTCAATAATAATTATAGAAAATCTGCCAACATCTTTGTGAATAACGAGAAACTAGAATAAAGAGATAATAGAAACTAATAATCGAACAAGATTACTTATTTTCGATGATAAGATTAATTTTTATTTTCTAAAAATGTTCCTAAACATGACGTCTGTAGTTTATTGTGGAATATTTTTACATTTTATGTCGTCGTTAATTAATAATTTAAAAAAAAACTAATTCTGAAAGCGTATCCACCCCCAAATCAGGAGTTTTGAACGTCGAATTTGCGCTCAAACTCAGGATTTACAGACTTTTAAAAAGTGAAATATGTCTCAAATGAATCCTAAAGAAGTTTTCCACAACACTGCGTCCTCAGTTCAACTACCTTACATAGCCGGTCACTCCCTTTAAGACAAAGAGGATAATGTTTGATAAGTACTGATAGCAAACGAAAGTAAAAGTATTGGATAGAAAATAAAGAAAGGAAATCAAAATTAGGAACAGAAAAAAGTGAAGAATAAAATGGTGGAAAGGAAAGAGAAAGTTAAGTTTAAGAAAATACCAAAAAGAAAGGAGGTAAATAACGCAGAAAGGATAAGAATAAATATGTTGAATTGTATTAGAAAGGTAACAAGAGAGAAAGTAAAGAAACTAATAAAAAGAAAGGAAGTAAAAAATTATAAAACAAGAACGAATATCTTTGAAATAATCAGAAAAGAAAAAAGGAAAAAATCAAGACCATACCAAAAAGAAAGTAAGCAAAGAATGCAGAAAGGATAAGAATAAATATATTTGAATTGAATATCTCTAGGATTGAAAAATGTCTGCAGTGTGGGTTTACTACCCCCTGGAGACCAGGAGCAGGGTTTGACCAGTCTCTAGGTTGGCAAAGACTAATCCTCTACACAACTTAACCTGATATCAAATATATTTCAATATATTCAATATCTTATATATATCACGATGTATTCAATATCTCGTATAATATATCTCAATAGATTTAATATCTGACATATATCTCAATATATTCAATATCTGATAAATATCTCAATATATTCAATATCTGATATATATCTCAATATATTCAATGTCCGTGAGATTCATAATACTATGGAATAGGAAGACGACATTTGAGCAATCTTAATCGTATTTGAACATAATAGAGATTTTGCTCAATCTTTACATATTAATCAATTTATACTAAAAGTTAGAAGTAAATAGTACTGTATATATTTCAACCAATATAGATATGTAAAATACTAGCTGAAGAGGCCGGCGTTGCCCGAAGAAAAAAAAAATTTAAAGAAAATATTTTTGTTTGAAAAAATATAATTTTGGGGAAAAAGTGGAATTTTTTTAGGCTACCCATGAGTGTCCACAAAAATTTTCAGCCCATTCGGTCCAGCCGTTTGGCCGGCCAAAGGGAACCTATATATGAATGTGTTGTTTTATTATATAGATAATATACCTCATGTATTCACATCCATTTTGTTAAAGTTTAAAACAACAACCAACCTCTCTTATTATTAGTCAGATCGTTAAGGGAAAGTGTTCTCAATAACTCTAAATAAGTTTAAGAATCTTCCTCTAAAGCTAATTTCTTTAAAGGAATTGAGTTTTAGCGACAAAATCTGATTTTCTAATTACTATATCTCACCATCTCTTTAATGTAGACCTTAGATATTTCTAACTTAAATTCATGTAATCTATTAGAATAGAATTCATAGTTTTAAATATCTACGGTCTCTGACATTGATTGATAAAAAAATCAGAGTTTGTAACAAAAACAATTGAAAAGCTTAGAATTATTAAAAATTTAAACATATATGTAGTTCTCAGAGCTGTTCAATCTTCTGTGAAACCAGAAAAATTCGGAATTAAAAGACGACAATAAAGCAATTTTCATTTTTTTTTCATGTTGATTCAAAGCTAATAACTTTACTGTATAGCTCAAAAATATCTTTTTAATTAAAATTGGTCTGTATGTGCAAACTGAAATTGCTGTGTGTCATGCTCATTGGACTATTTAAAATCATAAAAGTCGTCTTTCTATTCTACAGTTTTCTGAATCTTACTATATGAACCAAAATACTTAAAGCATATATAGATAATTTTGACATGTTGCATCAAAAAGTATACATACGATATGATACCAACTGCCTGAATTCAGATTCAAGTCATGTTAGGACGGATACGTGAGGATATTAAAGCATGAACCTAGAATAGCTCCCTGCTCAACCCCCACCTGCAATAATATTTTTTCACACGCAGAGTTACAAAATAATTAAGATTCTGATATTGAACAAAACGTTAGTATAATTACTCTCGCCTCTCCCTCACTCGGCCTCATTCCCTCATCCTTGCATACATATCCTCCCCCCCCCTTCCTCTTTACTCCCCGTCCCTCCCCGCCCCCCCCTTCCGACATTTCCCGTTCCTCCCTCTCTACTGAATAGAATAATAAAATAAAAATAAAAATTCCCATGAAACCTACAAAAAATCATACTTTATTCAATCCTTAAATAAATAAATAATTACAGACTAATAAATAAATAAATAAATACATTAACTTGGAAAGACATTATTTTAGGGATATTTGCATTTAACAGTGCTCAACAGATACTTAGAAATAACAATTAATATAGTTTTGGTGAAATATAACATTTTTAATTATTATACGATATTACATTATTCTGGACCTTAAACTATTAAACTCATCAAGTATTATAAAAACATAAAATAAACAGCAAATAAAATCGTAAAATTGTATTCGATTTCTTTTTCTTCACGTTTTGAAAAGTTTTGTTCTTCAGCTCAGGGAGTAGTTCATTCCTTCTATTCTCCTCTATATAGGGAGCAAGTTTAATGTTTTGCAAACCTTGGACCTGAGAAGACACATATCATGCAGAAAGATCATTTTTCAATGTCTGGTTTGGAGCTAGGTTACCCTGATCCAGGTCTGGGTTTGAGTTAGCTTAAACTGTTCCAATTCCATGCCAGGTTGTGAGCCAGGTTACCCTGCTCAATGTCTGGTGTGGTGACCTAAGGGTGATTTCTGTCTGGTTGTGAGCTAGGTTACCCTGCTCCGTGTCTGGTTGTGAGCTAGGTTACCCTGCTCCATGTCTGGTTGTGAGCTAGGTTACCCTTCTCCATGTCTGGTTGTGAGCTGGTTACCCTGCTCCATGTCTGGTTGTGAGCTAGGTTAACCTGCTCCAGGTCTGGTTGTTAGCTAGGTTACTTTGCTCCATTTCTGGTGAGCTAGGTTACCCTGGTCCATGTCTGGTTGTGAGCTAGGTTATCCTGCTTCGTTCCTGGTTGTGATCTATGTTAACCTGGTCCATGTCAGGATTCGGGCTAGATTACCCACTGTATCCTGCATACTGAGGTAGGTTGGAGTATCTAGGACGGATAACAGTTTGCTCCAGAGTACACACCTAAATAAAAACTTTAGTAGTTGGCAAAACCAATTTTATTTCTTATTGCATAAGATATTTTTGTTCGCGGATTCCCTTTGTTTTCTCATAAAATACAAAATCTATTTTGTATTTCGTATATTCTAATTTGAACTTTTTTTTGGCAATTTATACATTTGAAAAACTGTTGCAAACCTCTTCTGTGAACGAAATTTCATTGTTATCTAATATTTCAGGAAAGACGGGTCTGAGTGAGGTTAGTTATGGATTATAAATTGACAATCTATATATTAAATCAGGACATTCGTATATATGTTCCCTCTGGCCGGCCAAACGGTTGGACCGAATGGGCTGATTTTTTTTGCCACAGGCAACGCCAGGCTCTTCAGCTAGTTTTACATATTTGTGATTCACAGAATAAATTTCGGAATTATCAGGTTTTTAAACTTAATACAGTTCCGGTGTTGATTAAGATCCTGCAGTCTGACTGGTATTTACTCTAAACCAAAACCATCCGATGCTTTAAAAAGCCTAGCCCCTTTTAGAAAAAAAGGTTCATAGATAAAAGGCAATAATGAAAACAGCCCTAGATCAAATGGTAATTGCAGAAATTGTCGCAGCACCGTTTGTTAATATCCATCATAAATAATTTCTAGTAGTTAAGTGTAAACCTGAGTTTCCTGTTCCAGTTCTCTATATTCACAATCTCCTCTAGGATCTAAGACGACATTTGAGACTTCTCCTTTCACACTGTCCTTCTCCAGGTGCTGCAGGGTTACACACTCCTTGTTTACTACTTCCTAAACATAATACCTTACATTAGTTGGATTCATTGCATTTACAAGAAATATTCAGATATTTTCTAATATTCCATCTTGCCTAAGTAAATTTATTCTAGGACACCCTTCTAGAGTTCTCTATTCTATTCTAAAACACCCTTCTAGAGTTCACTATTCTAGGACACCAGAGTTCACTATTCTAGGACACCCTGCTAGAGTTCACTATTCTAGGACACCCTTCTAGAGCTCATTATTCTAGGACACCCTTCTAGAGTTCACTATTCTAGGACACCCTTCTAGAGTTCACTATTCTAGGACACCCTTCTAGAGTTCACTATTCTAGGACACCCTTCTAGAGTTCACTATTCTAGGACACCCTGCTAGAGTTCACTATTCTAGGACACCCTTCTAGAGCTCACTATTCTAGGACACCCTTCTAGAGTTCACTATTCTAGGACACCCTTCTAGAGTTCACCATTCTAGGACACCCTGCTAAAGTTCACTATTCTAGGACACCCTTCTAGAGTTCACTATTCTAGGACACCCTGCTAGAGTTCACTATTCTAGGACACCCTTCTAGAGTTCACTATTCTAGGACACCCTGCTAGAGTTCACTATTCTAGGACACCCTTCTAGAGTTCACTATTCTAGGACACCCTGCTAGAGTTCTCTATTCTAAGACACCCTTCTAGAGTTCTCTATTCTAGGACACCCTTCTAGAGTTCACTATTCTAGGACACCATGTTACATATGTGCTATTTGGAAACTCTATTATTTTATTACACCCTGATCAAATTTATCCTAGGACACCCTGTATTCATATTTATAAGAGGACGCAGGATAAAGCCTTGATGGAGTATAAAAGTAAAATAAACCTGATAAGATCTTTATCCCAGTAAATCCTTGCACATAAACCTACTCAAACTATATAGTTTGGCACATATACCTAGATACTGACATAGGACCTAGCTCCATATATACCTAGATACCGACATAGGACCTAGCTCCACATGTACCTAGATACCGACATAGGACCAAGCTTCATGTATACCTAGATACCGACATAGGACCTAGCTCCATATACATACCTAGATATCGACATAGGACCTAGCTCCATATATACCTAGATACTGACATAGGACCTAGCTCCAACTATACCGAGATACTGACATAGTACCTAGCATATATGCCTCTGTAAATAAAGACCTATCTTCATATATATAGACATAGGGCCTACATAGAAAATAGATCCATACATCTGTACTGACATAGAACGTAGCTCCACAAGCAATGGTCATTCTTTTGAACTTTTAAAATAAAATATGCATGAGCGAGGGAGGTTTCAAAAATTTTATTTCGTTTTATTTTCTACGATCTTAGATTTCCGGTTCAGGTTGTAATATCGACAAAATCAGGCGTTTCTCTTGGTGTGTTTATGAACTCTTGATCCTTGATTAAACCATATGCTATATATTAACTTATAATTCAGGTTTAATTTGGGGGCCAATAAAAACAGTTTGACTTGATATCAAGCTTCTATATCTTGCACCAAGACAACTTTACCCCTCCCCCCCCCTCTCCACACTCCGCCTGTTTATAGTCAGCCTCGTACACACAACTTAAAGGTTTTAAGGGAGTCTTTGGGAAAACTTATAGGGAGTTGGGACTAAACCCGAAATGATCAGATGAAAAAATTAATTCAATTTTTAAATTCGATTCGGGTTTGGCTCACACACCTTATAATTTTTCGCGAACACTCCCTTGAAAACCTTACCCAACAAACCTTACTTAGCCAACTTTACCTTGTAAACCTTACTTTGCAAATCTTACTTTTCAAACCTAACTTTGTAAACCTTACCTTGAAAACCTTTCTCTGCAAACCTTGCCAAACAAACCTTACTTAGCCAACTTTACCTTGTAAACCTAACTTTGCAAACCTTACCTTGCAAACCTAACCTTGTAAACCTTACCTTGAAAACCTTTCTCTGCAAACCTTACTTAGCCAACTTCACCTTGCAAACCTAACTCTGAAAACCTTACCTTGCAAACTACTTCAGGAACATCATATTTGACAAGCCTGCAGTGCTTCTCTGGGACCGGAGCTGAAAGCTCAATGAAATCTTCAATTCTTGCAGTAACTGTAGGAAGTCTAGAGAAGAATAAACTATCAAATCCGTCCTAAATTTTTGAATTAAAAAAAAGGATTTTTATTCCAATTAAATTATCTAATTCGTTTAGGTTGAATTCTAAATTCTATTTTTCAAAGATTGGGAATAAACGAATTGTTTAGTTTCTCTCCTGTATGGTACATCAACAGGGCTTAGATAACAGCTTTCTTCTTCTTTCTCCTAAAATATTTAAAATAATTATTTGAATATTGTGTTGGAGAAACTCCGGATGTAAACATATTAACTTATTAAGCTCGGTTTCGGTCGAGGAAGTTTTATTATTTCTTTAAAAACAAAATCTGTATTGATAAACATTCACCTTGTATCCATCTTTTACATATTTCTTTTCACATTTAGAAATTGAAAGTGTTTCAAGTTTTCGTTCAAATCCAATCTCTGCAAGATGAGCTGGAGCAATTACCTGAAATTAAATAAATAAAACATACAATAGACAAAACGATACTTGTATCGGATACACTAGACCAAATCATACTTGTATCGGATACACTAGACAAAACTATACTTGTATCGAATACACTAGACCAAATCATACTTGTATCGGATACACTAGACCAAATTATACTTGTATCGGATACACTAGACAAAACTATACTTGTACCAGATACAGTAGGCCAAACAACTTGTATTTAATACAGTATACCAAACAAATTGTATCCTACAACAGACCAAAATACTTGTATCTGATACACTAGGCCCAAACTACTTGTATTAAATACCCTAGAAAAAAATCTTTTAGACCATGCAACTTGATTCTGATACACAATACCAAACAGTTTGTTTTTGATACACAAACCCCATAATGGTACATCAAGCTTGTTTGGTATATGGAATATACAAATTGTACAGATCGAATCCAAACATGAACATCCCCCAGTGGTATTTAGTTTATGCAGCACGGAGACCAAAAAATAGAGCAACCCAACCAAACAAGTGCTAAAAATCTGCACTGAATCACGAACTTGAAAATGCTGACAATTCTTTTAGCACATTTTAACCTTTTATAATTTCATTTACAGTTAGTTTGAGGGATTTAAAGGAAAGGCTTACTGCTCAACCATCTCAAGTAAACATAATACATAAATTTTCGAATCATACAGCGTCAGGTTGTTTCTGAGATTTTGTTATGCTTCATGGCAGTTTTTGATAAACTTAAGTCCTTAAGCGTAATTAGAAGTTCCCCTACAGGGAATAGGAATAAAGGGAAAGGAAATGGCACTGGTCTGGCATGAGAAAGCCAGTCGCACTGCTTTGCAGACAGTACGCTAATCTTTACACACACTCTTTTGGTACAGACACACACACATGACGTTTCCGCCCCCTGGTTCCCCTCCATGCCAAGATGGCAATGCCCAAGTTCATCGTTATAAGAACCAATGGAGAAATTATCAGAATTAAACACTTTTAAGGTGAGGAAAACGACGTTATCTTCCACATTTTTAATCACTTGAAATTACGCTTTCAGTCCGTTTAATTATCACTATTTTTGATTTTGTTTTCTTAATAATTGTTTCTTATGAACAACTTACCGTAAATATATCTACGAAAAAAGTTTATTGATCTTTTAGCTTTATTATTAAGTTATAGAAATTTTCGCTGAAACTTTTAAGTATTCCGAGAAGCAGAATAATTTGGTTGTGTTCCAAATCTCAAAAATGGGGTTTTTATGAGTATCTTTAAATAGGGGGAAAATCCCATTGAATTAAGAGAATTTTCATTGAATTCTGAAACCAAAATATTACTGTTGGAAATCTTACTTCTTTTTGTTGATACTCATAAACACATATTTCCTTCGAAACACTCTGCTTCCGTTCTTCACACACGGTTGTAGTTCTGTAAAAATATAAGATGTCAAAAAAGATTTTATTAAGATTAATAGAACCAAATATGATCCAGACTATCATCTTTATAACAATACTTTTTCGGAGTAAAACTTTTCTATCGTTACAAGTGCCCCGGTCATTTCATTATCTTACTTTTAAAGGGGTTGTAAACGTATTTTAAAGGAGTTGTAAACGTGTTTTAAAGGGGTTGTAAACGTATTTTAAAGGGGTTGTAAACGTATTTTAAAGCAGTTGTAAAGGTATTTTAAAGGGGTTGTAAGCGTATTTTAAAGGGGTTGTAAACGTATTTTAAAGGGGTTGTAAAGGTATTTTAAAGGGGTTGTAAACGTATTTTAAAGGGGTTGTAAACGTATTTTAAAGGGGTTGTAAACGTTTTTTAAAGGGGTTGTGAACGAATTTTAAAGGGGTTGAAAACGTATTTTAAAGTGATTGTAAACATATTCTAAAGGAGTAGTAAACGTATTTTAAAGGGGTTGTAAACGTATTTTAAAGGGGTTGTAAAAGTATTTTAAAGGGATTGTAAGCGTATTTTAAAGTGGTTGTAAACGTATTTTAAAGGGGTTGGAAACGTACTTTAAAGGGGTTGTAAACGTATTTTAAATGAGTTGTAAACATATTTTAAAGGGGTTGTAAACATATTTTAAAAGGGTTGTAAACATATTTTAAAGGGGATGTAAACGTATTTTAAAGGGGTTGTACACGTATTTTAAAGGGGTTGTAAACGTATTTTAAAGGGGTTGAAAACGTATTTTAAAGGAGTTGTACACGCATTTTAAAGGGACTGTAAACGTATTTTTAAACGAATCACAGTGGTACTCTTGATCCTTTATCTCATCAATAATGTGGAGAGTATGGTCGTTTCAAGAGTGTTCAAATATGATAATTCTTTTATGTTTTCCTACAGAAGTAATGCACAAGTCTCTTTTGTAGAAAACCCACGAATAAAAATAATCAGTCTAAAATTATAGCATTGATACATAATTCATACTGTATCAAACAAAGCTTTCAAGGGTACCGTTGTGAATCAGGCATTGCCATCTTTGCATGAAGGGTCACTTGAAATTACAATCAGTTTTAGGTTAGGCAATCTATTTCACTCTTTCTGATTAAGGCTGAATACACAAACAGGCCAATGGTAAATTAAAAAGTGACATTTGCAATGCAATAACCATGAAGAAGTCCTAACCTTACAGATCCATACACGAAAAGAAAACTTACACATTGAAGCAGTATTGAGACTGAACTGGTTTGTATGTATAGAACTGAACAGTTGAATCCTTGTTTTTAAACCCTGGGGTACAAATCTAAACAATGGAAATATTTTTAAGGATACTTTTTAGATTTAAATTAAAAAAACAATAATATTTGTACCTGTGCTCTGTTAGATTGGTTTACGGTTTCACATATCTCCTTGGGTTCTTCTTTTTCAATCTTTTTAGGTGTGGACTCAACCTTAGAACTTGAACCGTAAACTTCATTTCCGTCAGAACCTACGTTCTCCTCTTTAGTTTCGTTTCTCTCCTCCACCTCTTCATTTACTTCTTGATTCTGGTCTGGTGGAGATCCTTCATCTTCGTTTACGTCTTGATTCTGGTCTGATGGAGATCCTTCATCTTCATCGTAGAAAACATCTTCTAACAAACCCTCATCAAGCTGTTTGGGTTTCCTTGGATCCTTCTCAGTTTTCTTATCTTTGCTTAGGAAATCTTTAAGAAGTTCTGCAACCTTTTTATCCCCATCAGTTTCCTCCCCCTTCTCATCATCGTCGTCATCATTCTCATCATCCTCATAGTCCTCAACATCATCTGAAGTTGAAGTTGTTGATTTGATGGGTTCATCCTCGTAATTACTGAACTGATCTAGAAGATCCTTTATCTCAAGGATCTTTTTCTCTTTTTCCTCCTTCTTCTCTTCCTTCTTCTCCTCCTTCTTCTCCTCCTTCTTCTCCTGCTTGCTGGACTCTTCCACGTCCTTGATCCTACCAGACACCTCCTGAATGATCTTTGCCATTTGTTCTATGGTTGCAGTATCAGCGCCATCACTAGTAGCAGCAACTATCTCAATTTCCTAAAAAAAACTTATAATTTGAAAAAGATCAAAAAGAAAAAATGAAAAAAAAACTTTCATATATAAAATTTTCAATTTATAATCTAATATTTCACATTTTGCCAGAATTCTGCAAAATCTAATAGCCAAAGTTTGAATCAAAAGTTTGGGGAAATGTTTTGTTCTTTAAAAATATGAAAATAAAATATAATATTTTTTTAACATTTTGAGAAAAAGGAAATACTTGTCTGGAATACAATATATCCTGTAAAAATAATCTATTCCACAGATCCCACCTTTGCTACAGTCTCCAGCTCCTGCAAGGTTTGTTTAAGCTCTTCTTCCTCAGCTCTCTCCTTCTCAACTGGAAACAATCGTTTTATAATCTACATTTAAAACAAAACTTGTATCAATGAAAATAAAATAAAATTGCCAAAAAGTAATTTTGAAAATCTGGCAGTAAAACCAAAAAAATCTGTAAAATTTCTAATTGGTTTTATTCTAAGGCTTGCAGAAAGATCAGATTATTACCAAAAAAGATGGACGTGAAGCGCCCTGTAATCCTAATATAATTTAAATTATTTTGTAAAAAAAAGGTTAATTGAATTCTAGTTTATAATTATTATGCAATTTCCTTGAATAAATCTAGATTTGCAAGGTTTGAGCTATCCGTCAGGTTTTAGCTTTGCTTGCATGTTCTTGGGGAGTCAGGAAATGAAAGTTCATTTATGATCTTTAGAATTAAGTAACAAACCTGGCGCTAATTTTATATTTTAGAAACTTAATCATGATTTACTTATCTAAACACTCTTTTTTCCATAGCTAAACCTGAACCCTTATTTTCCTAAAACCTTAATCTTTTTTCCCAAACATTTTTTTTCGTGCCTTTACCCTTTTCATAAACTTGTGATTTTCTTATCCTTAAAATCTGAACCTGAGCCTAACCTTCTCCTACGGGTTTGTTTATTCCCAGACTTAATTTTACACCTTTCTTATAGACCTACCTCAAAAAATAATAGAATTTATTTACCTTCAAGATTTCCATCGCTCCCCTTTTCCGTGATCTCAGCTAACTTTTCAATCCTAAGATTGAGCCAGTTTTATTTATAATTTTATAATTTTATATTTTTTCACGCTGCCTGATTACCTGGCTATCATGTCTTTCAGTGCTTCTTCAACCTCGGAGTTTTCTTCTAGAACTTCAACCTGAACCTGCTCCTCCTGTTCCTCCTCCCCCTCCAACCTGGCCAGCATACCTGCCAGATCATCTGCTAGCTGCCGACTATCTCGTGCAGCATCTTCTATTTCAGATCTAAGGAGAAAATGCTTTAATAACTATTATGTAAAGACTACTATGGCATCCTCTTACCTAAAGACATTTAACCTGTGGACCTTCCAACCTTCCAACATCCAGTAATTCTGACTTACCAATAAGCCGACCATCTGACCTCCTGACACTCTGACCTCTCGACCCTCGAACTTCCTGACCCTCAGACCTCCTGATTCTTTGACCTCCTGGCCCTTTGACCTCCTGACCCCTTGAACTCATGACCCTTTGACCTCCTGACCCTCTGACCTCCCAGCCCTCAGACTTCCTGACTCTCGGACCTCCTGAACCACTGACCTCCCAACCCTCTGAACTCCTGACCCTCTGAACTCCTGACCCTCTGACCTCCTGACCCTCTGACTTCCTGACCCTCTGACCTCCTACCCATTTACCTCCCGACCCTAGAACCTCCCACCATCTGACCTCCAGCCCCCTGACCTCCCCCCAATTCAGCTACTAACCTACTGGCCTCCCACGCCCTGACCTCACGACCCTCTAACCTCCCAACCGCGGGTCTCGAATTACCTGAGAGCTGTGCCGGAAAGAGAAGGATCTCCAGCAGCTAGAACTAGAAGAAAACTGAGTTGAACCAGGACCAACATCTAAACAATCATATATTAGAAGTAAGAGGAGGAGCTAATAGTGGAGGAGGAAGTTATGGTTGAGAAAGAGGGGGGGAGGGCTGGAGGAGGAGAAGCAGGAGGAGTTCGAGGAGGTGAAGGTGGTGGTGGAGTAAGAGGGGCTGAGAAGAGGAGCAAGAGTAGAAGGAGTAGAAAAAGGAGAAAGATGCAAGAAAGGCAGAGAAGGAAGTGGATGAGGAAAAGGATGAGAAGAAAAGAAGGAAGAGGAGGAGGAAAAGGGGTTGGAGGAGGAAAAGGTTAAGAAGGGAAAGAAGGAAGATGATGAGGAAAAGGAGGAAGAGGAAGAAGACAAGGTAAAGGATGAAAAAGAGGGTAACGGGAAGTAGGAATACAAGGGGTTAATATTATTATTATTACAAAGAGGAGAGACAGGGTGGCGAGACTTATTTTTAAATGTCAGGAACTTTTGGGTTCAGTGATGAACTAGGCCTTGAGGGGAGGGGACGGGGGGGGGAGAGGTTCCAGAATAGACTCGTTTTATTTACCCGGAAGTTTTTAAAATAAGTCTTGATGGGTTAAGATTATATTTGGGACAAACCTGCTGAGACATTATACTTTAATGCACTTACTGATAAGAAATCTAAACTAAAAACCCATAAATCATGTTAATCCTAACCAGTTATAAACTACCAATTTTAGGGTTTAATAAGCTTGAAAGGAGAGGAAAGAATACGGTTTTTGAACGAATTATAAATAAAGGTTATGGGGGGGATAGGTTTAGTATTGAAAATAGCTTATAGTTTAGACAATAGATAAATAAATACATGTGTTGTTTATTGAATGACATTTGAAATATTTTTTATTTTCCTGGTTTGATTTGAGTTAAGTTTGATAGAGCTATAGTAGGGTTATCAGGAAGCGACAATGCATCAGAGGTGAATACAAAACTAGGATTGGTTGGATCATGATAAATCTATGTATGCGAATTGAGTGCTAACATTTGTTAATCAGGATGTATCTATGTATCTGGGTGGAGTATTGAATTATGGTTGGATCAGGATATTTCTATGTATCTGTATTCTGTATGGAGAATTAAACTATGGTTGGATCAGGATGTATCTATGTATCTGTATGGATTATTGAACTATGGTTGGTTGAATCAGGATACATCTATGTATTGTATCTGTATGGTGTATTGAACTATGGTTGGTTGAATCAGGAAACATCTATGTATTGTATCTGTATGGAGTATTGGACTATGGTTAGTTGGATCAGGAAATATCTATGTATTTGTATGGAGTATTGAACTATGGTTGGTTGGATCAGGATATATCTATGTATCTGTATGGAGTATTGAACTATGGTTGGTTGGATCAGGAAACATCTATGTATTGTATCTGTATGGAGAATTGGACTATGGTTGGTTGGATCAGGATATATCTATGTATCTGGGTGGATTATTGAACTATGGTTAGTTGGATCAGGAAATATCTATGTATTTGTATGGAGTATTGAACTATGGTTGGTTGGATCAGGATACATCTATGTATCTGTATGAAGTATTAAACTATGGTTGGATCAGGATATATCTATGTATTTGTATGGAGTATTGAACTTTGGTTGGATCAGGATATATCTATGTATCTGTATGAAGTATTAAACTATGGTTGGATCAGGATATAGCTATGTATTTGTATGGAGAATTGAACTATGGTTGGATCAGGATATATCTATGTATCTGTATGGAGTATTAAACTATGTTGGTTGGATCAGGATATATCTATGTATCTGTATGGAGAATTGAACTATGATTGGATCAGGATATATCTATGTATCTGTATCCAGTATTGAACTATGGTTGGATTAGGATATATCTATGTATCTGTATTGAGTATATTGAACTATGGTTAGTTGGATCAAAGTACATATCTAAGGGTGGAGTATTGAACTGCGGTATTATTATGAAAGGTTAGAACTGGTGGATGCAGAAGAGACAAAATATTTTTTTTATTGACATTTAAAGATTATATAGTTTAAATGTCAACCCAATCCCTGGAAGTAATGGACAAAACTCAATAATGATCTTGAATATTGAAGAATAAACCTCATTACAAGATTGTCGTGATAGTAGTATGTTACAGAGCATTTGTATGCTTTAAATTGTATTCACAACTTCCCCTTTTTAGAACCAGTAATATACATATATATATATATATATACATACGAACAATCAATATGTACATAAAATATTTCTCACCATTTTTTTATCTAATAAAATATTTCCAAGAATAATCTTAATTTTTAATGAAGAGAGAAAAAATGAAAAATTGGACATCAAAAAGACAAATTTTAAACTCCTTTTGATAGTTGATAAAAACTTCATTACTTTCCGTTAGAAATAATTTTTTCCCTAATGCAGAAAATACTGAATGTTTTACTGCGCTCCATGCAAATATATCATTTGGGAGAAATAAATTATTTTTAAGGGGGGGGGGGTTGATTTTAAAAGAAAATATAAACCCCTGCAATATTCATAAACAAATTCTTTATTTTGCAATCTGACAATTTTATAAATGTTTAACCTTTCACGTGTACAAATTCAACCATTTAATGTTAGACATCTCAGTTTGTACTTTTTTACCTATTTAAGCTGATAAATGTATCGAAAATCAATAAAAAAAGAGATTATGGTTTTTAAGGAGACATGAATTGAACAGTTCCAATCATTCAAAATATCTTTGTAAAATTTACAAGGTGTTTATAAAAAAATACCATGTATATACTTTTATAGAGGTTGAATAAGTAATGCTCCAAAAACTATTCCAATGAGAAAAGAATTGTCAAACGTTTCTGAAATCTAAATTTAAAGTCACCCATATTTTGTTATGTTTTGATATGAGTTGTATAGATTTTATTGATTAATTGTTATTTTAACCTTTATATATTCTTATTCTTCTATATGTGAGAGGTATCAAATAACAGATTACTGAACCTGTATGTTGGGAGGAGAACCTGAACCTGGGGGGAGGAGAACCTGAATCTAGAGGAACCAAAGCACAATAGAAAATATTTCTTGAGAGCATAAACTTTTAATCATCAACCAAGTGATTATTAAAGAAACCAGATGTCTTCAAGCAGTATCCCTTCATTCATAGAGTGGCTTTTACGAATCACAACGGTACCCTTTAAACCTTTAATTGAATGAGATATTCTATTTTCTAGCTTAAAGATGATTGTTTTCAATTCTGGATTCTAAATTAAATTTCCTTTTTTGTCTCTGCGGACTAAATCCATAATTGTAAATTATCAATTTTCAGTTTTGTTTAAGACAAAAGTTTATTGGATATCGTTGTAAATCGGACATGCCATTCTTTTTCAATGAAAGGTCCTCAGATAAAATCACTATGCGATGTGTAATCTTCTGTAAAATTATATTGGTCATGATACATTACGTGTTCATTATTTACTATTACTACAGTTAAAATGATGTTTGCTCAATAATCGCATTTACAATAATCCTAAAAAATCCTAAAAATCCTAAAAAATCCTAAAAAAAATCCTAGAAAAAATCCTAAAAAATTCTTTAAAAATCATAAAAAATCATAAAAAAAGTATGATGTTAAGTGACACTCCGTACAAAGATGGAGATGTTCGATTCACAACGGTCGTTAGGTTTGTTTTATTAATTATGAATTAGATATTAACTTTTAGGACTTTTAAAAAATGATTATTTTTAATTGTGTATTCTCTAAAAAGTGGCTTGGATATTTTAAGGGAATTATTAAAATTAAACGCTTTTAAACTAGGAAAAACGACAATATCTCCACATTATTGTTCAAATAAAGGTTTCAAGGGTACCGTTGTGAATCAGATATTGCCAACTTTCCATAGTTGGCCTCTTTAAATTACGATAATTTTCCCTTTAGTAATGGTTTCACTAAATCTTGATCTAGGTATACGAATGAGTTCTTTACCCTGATATCTAAGCTGCTGTCCCGGCAAAACTGAGCTAAGGATACGTCAACCAGCCGACCTTTAACTACATTCATAAGCTCCTATAATGCAACCCACAGGCCTTACAGGTTAAAGGACATACACCATATACAACCAGTGGGCTCTACTCCACCTACCAAACTTGTTCACAGGTTGCAGAACATATGCAAAACCATTTGCACGTGCATATTTCAATTAAAGCTCAGCTATTATATAAAAATATGATCCTTTTAAGAGATATTTGTATGAAGTGCAAAATCAGGTATTTATATATATAAACTGAACCAAAGGGAGGGGTCTCGGTTTATGAAAATGGAGAATCCATTGTTCGAGTGGTTATATATCTTATTCAAACATTTTCAGGGAATCCGGACATTTTCTGGTCTGCATTTTTTAGGTCAGATGTTTCCTAGACTCCGTAGGCCGGATGAATAAACCCGAACTTCTTTAAAAAACCACCCCTTCATGTATTTATGCAAATATGTAGAAAACTCGTATCCGGATATACTTGAATACTGCCCCTTCATGCACTTCATGGAATAATTACAATCAAAATATTTTAGAAATGTAAATTTTCTGATCATTTTACTCATGGCATGATTTGATTTTATATACCTAGGGGACATATTTCCTGATTTATCTAACAAAACAAAAATGGATTAATTCCTATAAAAATCAGGATATCTGCATGACACTTGACTGCATGACGGAGCATTATTTACGATTAAAGAGTTCAGAAATGGGGATTTAAACTCCTTATTTACTAATAGGGGCTATATTTTTAAAAGAGGGGTGGGACATTGGGATTAGTATTTTTTTTGTATGTGAAATGGGGTGGAGGGGGGCGGGTTACTATAAATAAACACTAAATGACTCTAAGGTCATAACTTTTGTAAGAGAAAACTCGGCTAAAATTCATGAGCTCCTTTCAAACAGAGAACATTTGTTATTTCAAGTAATTTATTGATAAATCCGCGAAAAACTGGCTAACTTTCATTTTTTATGTCGTCTGGTTGTCAAATTTTAAACCATTAAAAAAAAGATTTCATAAGGGATTTAAAAATGTCGAAAAATTGTCCAGGAAAAATTGCCTAGGAAAAAGTGTCCAGGAAAAATTATCAAGAAAAATTGCCCAGGAAAAAGAGTCTAGGAAAAAGAGTTTAGGAAAAATTATCAGGAAAAATTGCCCAGAAAAAAGTGCCAAGGAAAAAGTGTCCAGGAAAATGTGTCCAGGAAAAATTGCCCAGGAAAAAGTGTTCAGAAAAAATGTGCCCAGGAAAAATTTTCCAGGAAAAATTGTCCAGGAAAAAGTGTTCAGGAAAAAGTGCCCAGGAAAAAGTGTCCAAGAAAAAGTGTCCAGGAAAAGGAAGAAAGGGTTGAATGAGCAGATAAAAGAGCTCGAAAAGTACACTTGACGTATAGCATAGATATCATTGCTTTGATAAATCTGGGCGTCGTTAGCTCCAAGGTATTCCACTGCACTTCTCCGGGTTAAATATCAATCTTTTTTAAAATTTACTGGGAGTAGTTTAGTGGTCCATCCTGATACAGAATAGGAGTCAATCCTGATATAAGGGGATTTTTGTTGGTGCTGGTGGGGGGGGGGGGCTAGAAATAGCATGTACGGAAAGAGAAGCATGGTTCAAGAATACAATGCATTGGTACAATCGAACAAATAAAGAATGAGATTATAAAGACGACCAAAATTATGAAGATTTACAGGTAGTTCGCCTTCGGTATAACTTTGGTCCAACTATTTACAAGAATAAGTACAGTTTGGTCCAACTATTCACAAGAATAAGTACAGTTTGGTCCAACTATTTACAAGAATAAGTACAGTTTGGTCCAACTGTAATATCATACCATTTATATGAACCAAATATGATACAACGACTATTGGGGACAATGGGTGTTTTTGTTTATGGTTCATTATCGATAGACAGTTAGTAACCTTCTTAACGGTGCAAAGTTTTAAACATGAAGTTACGTAATGATCTGTATAGGTTAAATTAACCCGTCGTTATAACATTTAAAAGAACAGATTCTACGATATTGAATCAGTAAATTTTTAATTTGATTTAATTGTGCTTCAACGTGTTTTATTATCAACTACAGGAAGAGTTATATTACGGTTGGGTTACAATTTTCGACACGGTGTTTATTAATCAATATTAACACTAGTATTTAATTAGAAATACAGGGTGTCCCACATCATATTCGATCGTCAATTGGTCTAAATTACGATTTGGGGGACTAATCAGAAAATTTTAGAAGAATTAATCATTTTGAAAAATTGAATAAGGTTTTTTCGAGTATTATGGGTTTATTTTGGCGTTTAAACTTGGAGATAATCTAATATGATATGGGACGTACGCTCTGTAGGTCAAACACTTTAGGCAGGTCTAACCTAAAGAAAAATGCTTTTTATTGGGATTCTCTCGATTCACAGTGGACAATCTTTTAGATTGAGGATCGACTGTCGCATTAAATCGGAGAACTTTGCCCATTCCATGGCACCATTGAGGTTTAACCGTCAACAGGAAAAGTTTCTGGCTCACAATGATCCAAAAGTTGCAAGCTCTCATGCTGAAATTAATGATAATTTTGAAAATAGATTCCTAAACTAAAGTTAAAAACAATTTCTTGAGAGTTTTTTAAATTTTGAACTAGTATAAGTGGGGAAGGACCGAGGCGTTGCAACACTTGAAAGTCGACCCAGTCTTGAAAATTTGGCGATCTGGATCTATTTAAACTAAGCGTTGTAATCACAGATTGGAAAATCGAAATTTTTACGCTCAGAGCTGATAAATTTTGAATTGACAAAACTAATTTAATTCGATTTAAATCAGTTACTGTAAAACTCTTATTTAGGTCTAAATTCAAAAGTGTCCCTTCGTTAAAATATTTTGATTATTTTGAAAAATTTCCGTTCCTAGTTGCACCAATTGTAAAGATATTTCTGGTTCTAGGTCTAGAATGCATTACGAAGATAAAAATAACTTTTTACTTTCTGCATTGCACGTACATATGCTAATAAGGCGCCGCTGGATTAGACCAGAGCTGAAAGACAACCCGAAACTAGACCTGGAGATAGGAGTAGGATAAACAAAGGAAGTATATACAGGATCCTGCATACTCCGGTATCATATCCTGCACGTTACAAGCACTACGTAATTGTTTTTTTACTTTTTTTGGAATAAGGAAAGAAACCTATGAAAAATGGAGACTAGAACTAGGATACAGACTAGAACTAGGATACAGACTATGAACTAGGATACAGACTATGAACTAGGATACAGACTAGAACTAGGATACAGACTAGAACTAGGATACAGACTAGAACTAGGATACAGAACTTGGATAAGACTAGAACTAGGATACAGACTAGAGAACTTGGATACTGACTATGAACTAGGATACAGACTAGAACTAGGATACAGACTAGAACTAGGATACAGACTAGAACTAGGATACAGACTAGAACTAGGATACAGACTTGGAATTTTTCTTGATCAGACAAAACTATTCTATTTTAACCTTAAAATTTTAATTTCTGCAACCTTTTTTTCTTTGAAAAATAAGAATTTTGCGAAATTATTTGAAGGCAAATTTTTAAATTCTGACCATCTATAAATTTTAATTATCTATTGAGCTCAGATGGGTTTAACAAACAAACAACGCAAATCAAATTTTTTTTTTTGGGGGGGGAGGGGAGGAATAGAGGAGTGACAATTATGATTTAGAGTTTGCAAACTTGTGAAAGGCTCCCTCTCGAGTATACCTACTATCCGTTCCTCTCTTAGCGATAAGATCAACCCTTCTCTGGTAGCATAGTAACAACTTTGGTTTCAGCCTTCCGTCTTGTTTAAATAATATGCACTTTAAACCTTAATTCCGTCTTGTTTAAATAATATGCACTTCAACCCTTGATAACTGTCAAATGCATTCTGCTGGCTACAGTGTTGTATCAATGTATATGTGTATATACCGGGTTGGGTTCTTTGTAAAGGTCAGGTTCACGAGTCTGAAAATTTAGTTTAGGCTTGATTCTCCAGCCATCATGTTCATCAAGGTTAAATATGAACCACGGAAGTGAACTTTAAGTTTCCAGGATATTTTTGATTCACAACTTTTGAATACCGGACATTAATACCTAAAATGGCCATCCTAGTTTTCGTTGGGATAAATTAATTGTAAATTAAACAATCATTCTAATCCTGGTTTACTTCGGAATATTAAATTTAAATAATATGAAAATTCGTAATATATGAGAAATAAAAAATCAAGATTTAAAATAAAAATAAAATCTTAAAAGATAAAATGTAAAAAAATAAATATGTCAAAAAATAAATAATGAAAGACAAAATTCATTAACAGCGAAAACCCTCTTTAATGAGTTGTTGGAACAAGATCTAGAGTGGATATGGTCTGGTCTGGGCCAACTCGCCTGCAAAAACATTACATTATATTAATAAATCCAAAAAACCAAGAAACTACTAAATAAATCAACTACTGTAATATAAATGTGCTCCTTGTATATTAAGTGTACGGTGTAATACTAGAGTATATTTAGTGTACGGAAATGATGACAATGATTACAATAATGATAGTAAAAATTTCAATTAAAAAATGTAATATTTATAAAAAAGTTTGGTGATAACGTTACTTAATTATCACTTTAAAGCATGAAGTCTTAAAAATATAAGAAAAGTTAAAATGAAAAGATATTATCTTATAAAATATTAAAGATATTATTATCTAATGCTGGATTATGATCACTGGCCCAGATGAACATTGAATTTGTCGAAAAATGTTTTCGTTTTCCAAAAAAATGTTAAAAAGAGTTTAAATATATAGGTGGCGTTGTTTTTGCCTGGTTTACTGTGTATCCAGGGACACCCTGAGGAGGATATGTTGTCTGCTCCCCTTATCCTAGACACAGAGATGCAACAAGGGGATGGAATTCAAGAATCCAGAGATTCAAGGAAATATATTTGTTCAAATAAATAGATAAATAGAGTTTTATTATTTATTGTTTTATCGGAGAAATAATTCCAAAATATCAATTATTTAAAAGGATTTTTAGATATATTAAAACTGTTAAATTTATAAGCAATAAAAGTTAATACTATCCAATTACATTTTTTAAAAATTCAACAAAAGTTTTGCCAGCGTAGAAATTGAACACTATTTTTCGAAACTCTATATCTTTGGAACCTGATGTTGTAAGCTTTTTACTAGATCTAGTTGCCAAAGTTAGAAATATCAAATATTTCTAACTAGTGGCTTTATAAAATAGGAGATAATAATTCCTACTTTTAGGATATTTTTAAAGTTTAATTTAATTTTTTTTTAATTTTCTGAAAAAGCTACAACTTTTTTAGAAAGCAAATGTTTGATTTTTGCTGAATGAAAACGAGCTAAAATGGGCTGGGATAAAAACGTAAAATCTTTAACATCGTTTATCAGATGAATTAATATTGCAATGGTTTAACTCTTTATATTAGTTCCACATTGCTGAACAATCTTTTTTGTTTAAACTTTTCTTCAAGATATTTTCGAATTGTATCTGAAATATATTGGATCAGGGATGCAGCTGTACCCGGTGTTATAATAAACAAAGGTTTACATGATCTTCCCTCTCCAAACCTTTCTCCTGTTTACACTCCAACCTTCAGTTCTTCTCCTGTTTCCGAACTTGACCCTCATCCTGCTGTCCCCACTCCTGTTCATCCGATCGAACCAGTTCATCTTGTTGATCCTGTTCATTCTAATCCTATCTACTCTCCACCCAAACCCGTTCATGTTCCTACCAAGGCAACCAAATAAAAGATTAAATTTAATTTCTAAAAACTGTTAATGTTATTTTATTGTATTTGTTTAGGCAAAGTGTAGGATAGAAGAGGTTGAGGTTGTAGGAGAAATATGTACTCCAACTGTCCGGTATATTCTATTCTCTTATCCTTTTTTTATATATATCAAACCTTCCTCATATTATGTCTTCTACTTGATTGCCATATTCCAATTTTCTTATTATTCTATTTTTAACCTCATCTCTATAAGCATTGCCCAGGATACTCATAGTTACTCCCGCCGTTTACCCGCACTTGGTCGAATATTAATATGTTATCTAGTTTTCCCTTTAAAAGTAAACCCACTTAACTTAAAAGCTAAAAACTATGCTCAGAACATTCCCGTGGGTCTCCTGAGTTCCCTTATCAAAATTTGAGGCAAATCGGTCAAGGGGTTCTTTTTCTTCTTAATTATATTTTCTTACTTTTCTTTTTGATAGTTTTAACATTCTTCCTATCTTTCTATCTGCTTAATTCTATTTTCTTATCTGTTCCCCCCCTTCATTTTTTTTTGTCTTATGCTTACAAATAATCTTTCCTCCTTCTCTCTCTTCCTTCAGATCTTGCAATCCAATTTTACGGATGTGTAGGTTAGTATAAAAGGAAGTAACTCCTATATCCAGGTACAAGGTTTAGTACTAGTAATATTATATATTTTAAAGGAAGGATTGTACAACCTTGAATTTAAAAACCAAAGGATTGGAGATGAAGGAGGATTGTTTCAAGATTGTTAAAACTGTTTGTACCGAGGTAAAGCAATTAATCTTCATCAAGCTAATTTTCAGAATTTTGTTATTGTCGCTTATCCACTTTTTACAATGTTATAGCAGTAAAGTTGTGAACTCAAATAGATTTTAACTAAAGGAATTGAGTCTTTGCCACAAACTCTGATTTTCTAACCCCTTAATTTTACAACCCAAAGTTTGGATTATCAAAGGTTTAAACTATCAGGTTGCAGTGATATAGGGATGAGAAATTTTGTGTCTAGAACCCAGAGGAGGAGGATAACGAGGTTTGCTTCTATCAGTATACTACACAGGAGGAACAAACTGAAGCTCAAACCGTCAAGGTTGAATATGATATCAGGTAGGTTGGTTTCTATCAATCTACACAGGAGGAGCAAACTCAAGCTAAACCCGTCAAGGTTGAATATGATATCAGGTAGGCTGGTTTCTATCAGTCTACACAGGAGGAGCAAACTCAAGCTCAAACCGTCAAGGTTGAATATGATATCAGGTAGGTTGGTTTCTATCAGTATACTACACAGGAGGAGGAGCAAGCTCAAGCTCAAACCGTCCAGGTTGAATATGATATCAGGTAGGTTGGTTTCTATCAGTAAACTACACAGGAGGAGCAAACTCAAGCTCAAACCGTCCAGGTTGAATATGATATCAGGTAGATTGGTTTCTATCAGTATACTACACACACAGGAGGAGGAGCAAACTGCTCAGACCGTCCAGGTTGAATATGATATCTGGTAGATTGGTTTCTATCAGTAAACTACACAGGAGGAGCAAACTCAAGCTCAAACTGTCCAGGTTGAATATGATATCAGGTAGGTTGGTTTCTATCAGGAAACTACACAGGAAGCGCAAACTCAAGCTCAAACCGTCCAGGTTGAATATGATATCTGGTAGATTGGTTTCTATCAGTAAACTACACAGGAGGAGCAAACTCAAGCTCAAACCGTCCTGTGACCGAATTTAAAGAATTTGAGCGGCGGTTTAAATTTAAGCCACGGCTTAAATATGGTTGGTTCCACATAAAATTGTATCAAATGATTCAAGATTTAAGCCGGCGCTAAATTTAAACCGGGGTTTGGCGGATTTTGGCGGATTTAAACCGCGGCTAAAATTCTTTAAATTCCATCTCAGGTTGAATATGATATCTGGTAGGTTGGTTTCTATCAGTATACTACACAGGAGGACAAGCAAACTGCTCTGACTGTTCAGGTTTAATGTGATACAAGCTAAGTTGATTTTCATCAGTATACTAAGAAGGAGGATGCAATTAAAAAACTATTGTCGTCTTTTTATTATAAATGACGTAAAAAGATTCCTGAGACGGAATCAGAAAAACGGTAATATTAATGTGTTTCCAAAAGAATTGAGTCTTTGCTGCACACACTGATTTTATAACCTCTTTATTTTTGCAACCCAATGTTGTAGACTTTAGGCATTTTAAGATAAATCAAATAATCTAAGTTTGAAAAATCAAAGGTTTACATAAAGATAAACCGAATGAGAAAATTTGAAATTGCGACAATTTGAGAAATCTACATCTTCTCCTTTTTGAGATAAGTAATCAATTCTTTTCAGGTGTGAAGAGAGTACAATACAACCGTACTGTCCACCTCAACCAGGATACGGTGTTAACTACAGCTGTAAACATCAAACTGCTAAAGTAAACATTATTAAATTAGGTTTTTTTGGGCTATATTGGTTACTTCGTGGATCTCCATGCAAAGAAAATGAGATTTTGCCACACACCCTATATCTTTGCAACCCGATGTCGTAGACCTGTGATATCTCAAACTAAATAATAAATTCTGTAAGATTAAATAGTCAAAGTTTGAAATATTAAAGATTGCAAGGATGTAGGGATAGGAAATTTAAGGTTAGTGGCAAAAACTCAGTTCCTTTTAATGTGTTAAGATTATACTTATCTTATTGTAAAGATGTGAATAAGTTTATATCAAATTAAAAACTTCAATATTCTTTTGATTGCGTCAGAACAAGGTTGGATCAGGAAAAATTTGCGTATTTTAGACTTGCTATCAGGAGCCCAGTACATCAGATACACGTGTTCCTGTCACAGTAGCGTATCCAGTTCCTAACAGAACATGTGAAAACAAACCAGTGAGTTATGTTTTAAAAATTAATAATTCTAAAAAACTATTTAAGAGCTCCAACTTTAATATAAACATAGCTCCACGATTTCTTGAATAAAAAAGCCTATTTGTACAGCTAAAAAATATCATTAAAACCTGAAAGATGTATGGGCCTATTTCTCATTAAATGAATAAAAAAAATCATGCCAATCAGGCGCATTTTCGAATAACCTAGCCATTCCGCGTTGACTTTGAAAAACCTATGATATAGATAAAAAGTCATAAATGGCCTTAGGGTGTAGATGGTGTATCTACAATAATAAATAAATCTAAAATAATAAAAATAATACATATGAAAGTTGTAACAATGATAACAATGATAATAATAATAATGAAGTTAACAATATATTTTAATAAATAATAATAAAACGGCAGTATTAAACTGCACTATATCCTGTTTGGTGTTGTTAACTATGATTAGCGTATCGTATTAAAGTAGAGTGGGGGAGCTAGATGTTGCAAACCATGATCTGCAGATCTAAGATCTGAACCTGCTCCGTCATCCTTAAACCTGCAATATTCGTCTCAACGGAGCAATGGATTATATTCATCAGAGTCATACTTCATCAATCTGAAATCCGTCAATCAATCAAACTATCAATCCATCCATCAAACTATCAATCAATCCATCAAACCATTAAAGTACCAATCAATCCATCAAACTATCCATCAAACTATCAATCAATCAAACTACCAATCAATTCATAAATCCTCTAAAGTACCAATCAATCCATCAAGCTATCAATCAGTCCATCAAACTATCAATCAATCCATCAAACTATCAATCCATCCATCAAACTATCCATCAAACTATCAATCAATCCATCAATCCATCAAACTATTAATCAATCCATAAATCCATCAAACTACCAATCAGTCCATCAAACTATCAATCAATCCATCAAACTATCAATCAATCCATATATTGATATAATATGCCTACCATCGTATTTATTCTTTTATTTAAAAAAACTATGAGTATTTTATGATGAATTGAATACTTATCTTTTTATATTGAGACTGGACCATGACCATTTTCATTTTGAAGGTTTCTCTACCTCGGGTTCAATGCCAGGAGGTAGAGACGGAGGAATGTATCTCTCTACCCTACCCAACCATGGAGAAGATAGAACTAGAGAGATGTGGATCGGAACTAGGGAAACTAGAGTGCACCGAAACCGTTCTTACTCTTCCCAAACAGGTAAGGATTAGTTTAACACGTCTAAACCAAATCAGGAGTTTTTTCTCGTAGATTTGTGAGGAGTACCTAGAGTCTTATCATCCATCCGCCCCCTCTTATGCAGCTCCTACCCCCTCTTACGCAGCTCCTACCCCCTCTTACGCATCTTCTGTTCCTTCTTATGATGCTCCCGCTCCTTCTTACGCAGCCCCCGCCGCTCCTTCTTATGGAGCTCCAGTTTATGCTGCTCAAACTTTCTTCTCTGGATAAGGAAGCCCAGTTTATCTTTGGCAACATTTTAAACTAGATGATTAGAACAGGATTAGAAGAATTAATTTATTAATTTATTTATTGATTTAAATCTATTTATAATAAAAAATCAAAAAATTTATATTTGTTTTGGAATGATTAATGTTGATATCTTGGAATATTTTACTGGAAAATTGGAGAACAAATTCTTTAACGTGATGACATGGCAGTTTAGCATCTGTTATACTGTTATACAGGGGTTTTCAATATACATACTGTTATACAGGGGTTCTCAATATACATACTGTTATACAGGGGTTTTCAATATACATACTGTTATACAGGGGTTCTCAATATACATAATGTTATACAGGGGTTTTCAATATACATACTGTTATACAGGGGTTCTCAATATACATAATGTTATACAGGGGTTTTCAATATACATACTGTTATACAGGGGTTCTCAATATACATAATGTTATACAGGGGTTTTCAATATACATACTGTTATACAGGGGTTATTAATATTAATGTAACAGTGGGCGAGTTTTGTTGATCTTTTACGATCAGCAATTCAAGGATTTTTTGGATCGCTGAGATCATAGCTACCAAGGGGAATCATGCCCCCTTTCCCCAGCTTTAACCCTACGGTTGGACTTTAGAGTCCTATTTTGAATCCTAACGGATTTATTTGAGTTTGCATTTGGATTCTATAAATAACCCAAGCGACGCCGAATTTTCCGTTATCTTGAAGACCCAAGCGTTGGGGAGGGGGCGGAACAACCCCGGGGTAGCTAGGGTTAAATGCGATCCTAGGATGGAGCAANTAGGTATGAGCTCCTCTAAAACCCGACGCGTTGAATATTTGAGAAACTCAGTGCATTGCTTTATTGATTTTTATTCATATACTATATTAATACTGGTATACAGAGGTTCTCAATAGACATACTGGTATACAGGGGTTCTCAATATACATAGTGTTATACAGGGGTTCTCAATATACATACTGGTATACAGGGGTTCTAAATATACATACTAGTATACAGGGGTTTTCAATATACATAGTTATACATGGGGTTCTCAATATACATACTGTTATACAGGACTTCTCAATATTCATACTAGTATACAGGGGTTCTCAATATACATACTGTTATACAGAGGTTCTCAATATACATAGTGTTATACAGGGGTTCTCAATATACATACTGGTATACAGGGGTTCTCAATATACATACTAGTATACAGGGGTTCTCAATAGACATACTGTTATACAGAGGTTCTCAATATACATAGTGTTATACAGGGGTTCTCAATATACATACTGTTATACAGGGGTTCTCAATATACATACTGTTATGCAGGGGTTCTCAATATACATACTAGTATACAGGGGTTCTCAATATACACACTAGTATACAGGGGTTCTCAATATACATACTAGTATACAGGGGTTCTCAATATACATACTAGTATACAGGGTTTTTTTAAAGATATGATTTGGTTTGATTGTCCTAGCCTCTGAAAATTTGGGAAATGTTTATGAAATGTATCATGGAAAAAATGCGAAAAGGTATTATTTTATTAATGTTTTTTTTCAAGGTTTTCTCTCTTTTTACTAATCCTAGGAAACAGAGGGGATATCTCATCAAAATATTGTCCAGTCATTCATTTTAAAACAATATATTTTCCGGTTCTTTCTACACCAGAGGGGGAGACAAAAAAGTTAACAAGTAGGGTTTTGTTCTGGTAACTGGGGCCGGGATTATTCTAACCCAAGATATAGAACATTACGGGACAAAATTCATTATAGAACTGAGGAAAGACGTTTTTTGGACTTTTTATGGAATTAAAGCCGAGCATGGAGTTTTTATTTTATTTTAGAGTCATTGAAACAGTTTCATGTCCGCACCTGTCATTTAGTGTCTAGTGTCTAATGTCTAGTGTTTTTGTCTAACGTTTAATATTTTAGTGTTAATTGTCTAGCGTTTCAAAAGTCTAGTTTCTAGTATAGATGTCTAGTGTCATGTGTTTAGTTGTTTTATGTCTATATTTTTTTTTGTTGCTAGTGTTTTAGTGTCTAGTGGTTAGGTTTCTAGTGGTTAAATGTCTAGTGGTAAATGATTAGTTGTTAGGTGTCTAGTGGTTTAGTGCCTATTGGTTTTTAGTGTCTAGTGGTTAAGTGTCTAGGGGATAAGTGTCTAGAGGTTTAGTTTCTAGTTGTTAAGTGTCTAGTGTATAGTGCCTATTTGTTAAATGTCTAGTGGTTTAGTTTATAGTGATTAAGTGTCTAGTTTTTTATAGTATATTGGTTTCGTATCAAGTGGCTAGTTGTCTAGTTTTAGTTATGTAGTCCTAGTGTCCAGTATTTGTGCTGTCCAGTTATCGTTGTGTAGTGTCAAATATTTGATATTTCTGTCTAGTGTCTAATGTATCGTATTTAGTGTCAAGCATTTTGATACCATCTGGTGATTTGTGTCGAAAGTCTAGTGTCTAGCGTTTGGTGTCTAGTGTATAATGTCCAGTGTATAGCTTTTGGTGTCTAGTGTCTAGCGTTTGGTATCTGGTGTCTCGTGTCTAGCATCTACTAATACCACCCACTCTATTTGTAAAATTTAAAAATCGTTGAACACAAAAGTTTTTGCGCCAGAATTCTTTGACGTTTTGACTTGGCTGACAATAGAGTGAAAATAGTGTTTCATTATTCTCCCAGGGCGGATGTAAATGCTTCAGAAAATGTCACTTTTTTTCTTTTCAATTTCAAAATCCTTTTAAAACAAGGATATTTAGGGAACAGGTAAGTGGATGGGAGAGGGGGGCAAGAGTTCCGCCCCCCCTCTTTATTCTTTATAATTAGGTTTTAAAATATAAATTGATTTAAAAAGTGATTCTTTTAAACTTGCCTTGTTACATACAAATATAAAGGTATATTCTAGCACGTGTTTGACAATTGGACCCCCCTTAGGGCTTTGGGGCATTACAGCATTGGGGGGTATTATACTAGGGGAGGGTGGGGTGAAGGCAGATGACCAACAGATATAGCACACCCCTGCCCCCTGGTGTGAAAAATAAAGGATTCTAAATTATTTTTAAATCTGTATATATGTAGTCTCTGTATACTGTTTGTATAGAAGAATAAGGTTGCCTACTGTACTGTGTACATGGATATACAATCAATATTCACATTAACATTTTAACATTTTAACATTTTAAATACAAATATACGAAAATAAATGATGGACAATGTTCCTCATCAATCTATGCTACAGTTTGTTCATTAAAAATCATTCAAATTAATTTTAATTTTTAACAGATTTATGTCTGCACTCTGCACAGTTTCAAATATATCTCAAAATTCTGATTTATTTTCAAGTTCGCGCCTCAAATTTGATTATTTGAACGAGATAGCGAAAATTTCTAATGCTTTTGGGAAAAATATTTTAAAGAGGTAGGTGCAGGGGAAATTGATATTTTAGCTACGCTCGGAATCACGAGATCAAGGTTTTAAATAAATACTTTATTAACAAACTCACTGGATTTGTAAACTTAAAATATCAAAATTCATATATATATATATATGGGTGACGTGGCAGAACTGTTGCTCCTCTTGCCGCGTCTTCATATCCGGCTCAGACTCAGATCGTCTTCCGCCACAATATATCCTTTTACAAAGGAAGATAGGGAAAAAGTGATTCTATAACCAAAATTAAGTAAGTCATTGTCAAGGATGCAAATAGAAGAAATATAAAATCTAAAATTAAACATATCTCCGCCTAAGATATTCATTTTTTTCTCGCTCAATAAATCTATATATACTTTCCTTATCTGTCTGTCCGTTTGTATTAAAAAAACTGAAAAACGGCTGAACTGTTCCGACCCAATTGTTTAGTGGGACATCAGATGCTCCCGGAAAGGTTTATGGATGCTCAGAAATATGAAAATTATATCATTGTTTCATCGTAGATAAAATGCTGAAAATTGAGCAACAATTAAATGTTGAAATTTAAGATGGGCGCGAAACGCCCTGATAGCCTAGTCAATTAAATTGTGTTTAGTCTATAGGTTACACTTCGCATAATTTTATTATCTTTATTATGTGTAAAAACAACTAGTGACTCCCTCAGGTATATTTAGAATTCATTTTCTCACCATTTTTTCAATCTTTAATCTTCATATTTACTTTAATATTTATCCAGACACAGGTTTTTATCCAGAGAAGTTCTTATTTAGGACGTTTAATATCGTTGTTTTTTTTGGCTACTCTTCGCCCCCCCGGGCCCTAGATATATTGGTTAAATATATTCTATCCTTATCTATATATTCAAATATACGTAGATATATTGGTTAAATATATTCTATCCTTATCTATATATTCATATACACGCAGATACATTAGTTACATTTACATAGATATATATGTATATATTCTCTTTTCTCTTGGTTTTGAAATCAATGAAAAAAATGTTCTCGTTGTTACCATGCCTCTGAATAATTTTGGAACAACCAATCAAAACAACCGACGCTGGTTAGGTAGGTCTAATATGAATAGTAAATTGTAATTGCTTATTTGTAATATCTCATGCTTTGTACCTAGATAAAAATATGAAAAAATATAAAATCTCACTTTTTCATATAACTCATATGTAGGGGAAACATATCTTGTATACGATCCTTGTCTTGGAAGTTTCATCGGCAAAGTTTTACTCATGTGTTTTTTTTAATTTAGCTTGAAGTTTTTAATAATATTTGACAATAAACCATTTTTTTGGCATATTTATTTTTTAGCCGGTTAAAAATGTCATGGCCAGGGCCCCAGATAAAAACTCAAATTTGCTAATCCCTATATCTTTGCAATTTGATGGTTTAAGCATACAGAATTTATAGTTTGAAATGTATAAGATCTTCTGCAACATTGGGTTGCACAGATATAGAAAATCAGAGTTTTTGGTAAGGAATAAATTTCTTTATTTTTGGAAAAAGAAGAACCAATAGGAAAATAGTTTAAACTTATGATGAATATTTTTACAGAAATGGTTCCACTAAAATTCATCTTTATCTATATATCTGAGTATCTATGAATTGTATTTAATTGCATGGAATATTTGTACAGATGTGCAATATAGTTAACCCTAGGTCAGTGTATACTGTGGATACAGCGGTCTTATAATATAATTACGATATAATTATATGAGTATATATAAAATTGATGGAACTCTAGGGAGCTTCGCACAACCCTACCTTCCTCTAACCCCCTGGAAACTAAGTTTTCCTCATAAAAGTAGGTTAGCCTAATCAGGCTGAAATATCTAAACAAAGCTAAGAACATTTCGTGGTTCCAACGATTTCCACAATAAAAATTTTAGGCAAATCGCTCCAGGGATTCATGAGTTATGATCGGACATGCACATTTTTATACGTATCTATATATAACTTGAAATACAGAAAGACTTGTGCAACCCTACCTTCCTAAACCCCTTCAAATATCTATATGTATATCGTTAAAAATATTAATTTTGTCGCTTACCTAAAACAAGTCCTGCCGGAAAATATCCCGACATTCTTAAACCCCTTCAAAGCTCTCAAACTCGTCAAAATATAACTACAATATATTTAACAATCCATAAGAACTACTGTCTACCTGTCTACTTTTTGAGAAAAACAACCCCCCCCCCCCCGTCTTCCCTGGAAAACATGTTAAAATACGCCCCCTCTCCCCCTGACTGGTCAAAAACTAGCCTAGTACAGTGCTCTTCCCTTGTTAGAGCGGAAACCAGAAGAATAGCCAAGTAATGATAATAAGCTTCCATTCACAGACAATATTTGTAGGTAGGACATATAGGGACAAATAGGACATATAGGGACAAATAGGACTTATAGGGACAAATAGGACATATAGGGACAAACTAAGCATAAAGAGACAACTTGAACATAAAGAGACAAATTGAACATATAGGGACAAATAGGACATACAGAGACAAATGGGACATAAAGGGACAAATAGGAGTAAAAAAGGGGCCAAATATGAATCTTAATCATTTAAATCACAATTAATGATGACTTGGCCCATTTCTGGCCCATTTCTAACAGAAATGGGCCAAATCTGCAAAGTTATCTTTTTCAACAGTATATATATTTAAATCCAAGTTTAGTAGAACAAAATTACACCATATATTAATAAAAAATGGCTAAAACTATATATTGGAACAATAAATGTCAATTTTAAACTATAATAATAAGGTGTGAGAATTAGTTTTTGATGATTCTTACAGAATAGATTTTACTAGAAATGCGGGAAACTGTTTGTTTAAAATGTTTGAATATATATCATCCATATTCTCTAATTTAGGAGATAAAATGTAGAAACTTAGATACTGGAAATAATTCAGAAGTTAATTTAGTCTTCATAAGATAATTTTTGTTTTCAGTGATTTATTTTGCAAATTATGAAAGTGAGTTTTGTTTTGAATTGTGGATTATACTCAAAAACGGAAAAGTGGGTTTTTTCCCGAAAGCGCGACAATGTTTCAAATTCAGGAAATGTTCGAAAATTGTCTTGAAAACGGTCAAGAGATTTAATGTAAGAAGAACTCCTATTATAATTTTGATTTAACAAAAAAGTTTAAAATTGGGAATTGTTGTATGTCATGCTTAATAATATGTTGGTTATAGTTTTTATTATAGACTTTTACTCTGGATATGGGCCGGGATCCCAAAAACCCAGTCTTTCAATTTGTGCCCATTTGTAACACTCAGTGTTAGAAATGGGGCAAGTGTTAGTTTTGGAACTAATGTCCCCTGAAGTTAAAAAGTTGTATGTACATTATAACTCTTGAACCTCTTGACAGAGTTGCATCAAATTTGATTAAATAAATCGTGAGGATAAGGGGAATGTTCTTAGCTAGGTTTAAAATTGTTTAGATCTGCAGGCAAAGCTGGGTTCCAAGCTAAAAAAAAGGTTGATCTATTTAATTTATTGTGACAAAATATGATAAATATTATTTGAGTTGATTAGGATCTAATGATTGATCCTATTCTTCTCTCATCCAGGGAATATATAAAGATATAAATGGAACTATTTTCCCATGAATTTTGCGGTAAAAATTAGCAGTCTAAGGATTATCCCTGAGATAGATAGATAGATAGATAATCCTTGGTTGCTCCAGGGGGTTCACTAGATAATAATAGATTTTCACACCAATACAAGCAGCAGGAATAGATGAATAGATGAATAAATAGATTGATTGAATGAATATATTTATGTACGACTGGTTCGGATAAGGTTGAGGACGGATTTAAGATTGGATTCAACATCTAGCAGATCCTTATAAGAGAATTGTCTTCCTTTGCGCCTGAAACAATATATAAAGTCAAACTTCATAATGATAACCTAATATTTACAACTTTTTCATCCCCAAACACTAGAGTTGATTTATATCCCTGGCGAAAATATTATTTTATTTCCCGTTCTCGACTCAATTTCAACTTCATTATCTAAACTGTTATTCTGTATACATGAATTAAGTCTTTGCTTCAAAGTATGATTTTCTAATCCCTCTATCTTTGCAACACAATGTCGGAGACCTAGGATATTTTTTACTATTAATTCTGTTAGGTCCAATAGTCCAAGTTTGAAATATTAAAAGTTTACACCATCAGGTTGCAAAGATGTATGGATTCGACAATTAGAGTTTGAGGCAAAGACTTAATTTTTTTAGATTAAAACAGCGGTAAATGGACTGCAGACGTAATTTCAATTTGCTTATAGTTGCATATAAACGGAGCCTTTAATTTTTATTAAATTATTAAATATTATTAAATAATCTCTATGAAAAGACTATCGGCCTCATGTTAGAGAAACAAATAAGAAAAGTACAGTGGTCAATTCAACACTTTTGAAATAAAAACGTCGATATCTTCTTCATGGTTACTCAGATAGAGTGTTAAAGGGGATAAAGACAAAACTATGTATACAGTCTTGATCTCGATATCTATAATTGGCACTTTTGAATTTGATGATCAACGCTTGATCCCACGAAATAAATTTATTCCTGTAGACTATGATTATCGAAGAAATTAATCCTTAGATCTGAATTAGATGGAGATTAATGCTTGATCCCGACATTCACACATGCACTGATTTCAAACCACGGAATCTATCTTATTTAAGAATATAAACCTGATCTTTCCGTCCAGCTGGTTTTGTATCTCTACTGCCATACTCCGGGTCTTCTCTGCAGCTGAGATAACGTTCTCTGTAACCAATCGTTTTGCCTCCAGCAAGGTTTGCAGGCTTATATCCTCTACAGACAAACGCAAAGGAAAATTAGAACGTATTTTCACCTTTTTAAATAATTATAAAATAATCTCAAATAGATTTTAAAACTAAGAATATTTTTTCATGGTATCTTGATGATCTCGTCATTGTTTTAATTTCATAAACATTAGATTTACTCGTAATCTATTTAGGCCAAAAATAGACAAATCTGCATAGAAGCTTGTTTTTATAAATTATTGTAGCTTTGAATATAATTCTGCATCTATTTATATAAAAAACTTCCAAATATTTAAAATCTTTTGAAAGATTTTACCTTCTCTGAGAGGATGTCCTAGGAGAGCGAATCTATGAAAAACACTGTTTATGAAATCTTTATCCTGTAAAAAATAAGAATTTAATTGTAAAGAGAAATTGATTTGAAGAAAAGTAAAAAAGAAAATAAAAAAAATATTATATCTATATAAAATGAGTCTTTATAAAACAAACTTTAGATAATGTAGAAATATAAAATATCTTTCATTATTTTCATTGATTTCTCTAACCTGGTTTAGATCCCGTATTGAAACTCCATTCCGGAGTTTGGAGTTAATAATCTCGAAGGTTTCCTCAAGAAACTTTAAATCTTTCTTTTTCTCAACTTAAAAATATGGTTTTAGTCAATATCTCTTGAGATGAGATATCTTTGATTTAGTTGTTTTCAATAAAATTGTTAGTTTAAGTCTAATTCCAAACAGGTAAACTATCCCTTTAAGCTTGATTCAATTGTATGAATGAAATTACAAAGCAACAATTAAAAACAAGAATTTTGGTTTAAACATATGCTCCGACCGGCAGACATGCACACTGCACAGTATCAGAATATAATTACATTGTTCTCTGGTGAATATAGAGTAATTTTAACAATCTATCTACTCTCAGCCTGGTTAGTATAGTTTAAACCCTGTAATCATCTTCTCTACAACCTATTATTATCTTCTAGATCTCTCATGCTCAGATATTAGTCAGTTTAGGATTAATTTTATTAATAGTATTTAGGGATTAAAGCTTGCTTTGGTTACTGGTTAGCTATTATTTCTCCGGGTTAAGATAACATGAGGAGAGGGCTAACCTTCCAGTTCCTCTAGAAGGTTCTCCAGCTCAGCTGCTATAATACTGCTCTCCTTGACTGCTGCTGTCAGCTCGTCCTGGAGGAAGTTTCCTAACTTAAAGGATCCATTCTTCTCCAGGTTTTTAGCTCTATTCTTCTCCAGGTCTTGGGTTCTCTCCGGAGCAACGTCCGCAATCTCATTGTACTTCTCAAGATCTTCTTCTCGGAGTAAATCTTGGAAAAAATCTGATATAGTTTCTTTCTCAGTGTCGATGTTGGCAGAGGGTTTATTACTGTTCTTGTTCTTAAGTTGCTTCGTTATTCCTAAAATATCCGAGAGAGATGGATCGGTAGGAGCAGGATCTTTTAGTTCTTGGTTAATGTTGAACTTATTGAGAAGTTTGTCCAGGAATGACTCTGATCCACCCAACTCTAAGTCCAGGATTGGATCCTGATCTAACTCCGCATCCTCGTTCTTGTTCTCCGACTCGCTGTCCTCTAGTTCGTCAATCTCTGGGTTCTCTACCGCCTGCCTGCTCTCCTGTATCTGCTCAATAAACTTGACAAGGGAGCTCTTTAGAATATTCTGGAAATTCTGAGAAGGTTCGGATACGGATACTGTAGTTTCAGCAGCAACCTCGGACTCAGTGCTAGTCCCTGGTGCCTTCAGAGAAATATTAAAAATACTTTTAAGTGACTCCATATACAGGGTGGCATTTCAGATTCACAACGATTCCTTTAGAAACTTGGTCTGATCAAGAGTGTATGAGAAATCCATCATAATCTACTCTTTTTCCCCTTTCTCCTTCAGAAACAATGTAGGAAATTGTCAAAATTAAAAAGAATTTAGTCCAGAAAACGCCGATATCTGAGACAGTATTGATAAGGTAAAGGATTAAAGGGTACCGTAGTGAATCGAGTATACCCCTCTTCAGTACCTTTAAAGGAGAGAGAAAGAATTAAATTTAGAACAGTCCCTTTAAAGGAGAAAGAAAGAATTAAATTTACGACAGTCCCATTAAAGGAGAGAGAAAAAATAAAATTTTATTTTATTACCTGAGAATCTAATAATTGTTGTATCACTGGAGCAGATGCATCTACAGTAGTAGTTTAGGATAGATTGATTAATAACAAATATTTCTTAATGGGATCGTTAGAGTAATCCTTTAGACAAAGATGTCAATGGCCAACTCACAACGGTACCATTGAAACCTTTATCTGATCAAGTATAAATCAGTGTTTGCAATTTTAAAACCTGATTATTTTCAATTGGGCTTCTCTTCTAAAGTGGCTTTCACAATATCAGAATTACATAGTTTTAAACCTAGAAAAACGATAATATCCTCCACGTTATTGATCAAAGGTTTCAAGGGTACCGTTGTGAATAGAGTATTGCCATTTTTGCATGAAGGGTCACTTGAATTTACGCTTAGAGTTCTTATTCTTAATATTTTATAATCTAGTAACTTTATGGGTGACCTCGCAGATCGTCTGTATTACGTTCAGGTTGAGGTTGAGGTTGAGGCTGGGGTCTAAATACGGGCTGTTGCTGTTGCTGTTGTTGAGGCTGAGGTTGAGTCAGGAAACCTGATAACCTCTGCTCTGCCGCGGCATGAGCAATAAGAGCAGCTTGCCAGACATCTAAACCTGGAACCTGGAATACGCAACAAAATGTAATATTTTTATTCCTATATTTTTGCAATCTGAACTTTGAAGACATAGTACGACATCAGGTTGTAAAGATATAAATAAAGAGAACTTGTGGCAAGTGTTAAATTCTTTTATCTACAAAAAAATATAAACTGGTACCTGTGGAACTCCCTGTGCATTGATAAGACTTGATACGTCCTGACCGGAGCAGGAGACCAGAACTGTTGAAACCAGGATCAGCACCTGAACCGGAAACATTTAAACTTAATCCACTTCCAAGTTTACTCACAGATCAAATTACAACCATGGGATTAAATTTGTAATGTTGATTTTGATTGAATCAAACATCCAGAATTTACAATCATTGACAAATTTCGATTTATCCATAAAAAAACATTAAAAAAATAATTTTTGAATATTGATTATTATTAGAAAAAAAGACCCACTCATGTGTACGCAATGATGAGGACTCACAATAATTGAGGAAGGAAAATAAAGACACTTTTGAGGAAGCCTCGACTTTAAAGTGTCGCAACGCTTCGGACTTTGGTTTTGATCACTTATACTTTTTTGTAGCTCTAGACATGTACATTAAAAAATTGAACGCGCTTGTTTCTAGCTGAAGTTTAACAGGAGTAATTGGCAAAATTCTGTTTGATTTTTGCGTGAGAGTGCGGGCATCTTGGTTAGCAATGTATTCTTTCATTCCATCACTTGTATACCTGATACGAACTGTTTTGGAACGGATTAAAGAAACTAGAACTTGCTCTAGGATACATACCTTCATACCGTAAAGGTTAGAACTGTACTAACTAGGGTTGATCTTGTATCAAGGTTAAAGAGTCTAGGATAACTGAAAACCAGAAGCTGCTTGATATTTACTTTTATTTGTGTTTAATCATCCAGGACCTCATTTATCCCCCCACCCCTCCCACCCTCCTCCTCCCCGCATCATGATAATAATGGCATCAGACTCTGATAAATCCTTTAATCATCTGATAACTGATATACATTATTTCATGATATTTTTCTGGTACATCATGTATTTCTGGTAAAACTGGTCTGGTTTTTACGACTCATTATCTAGTCAAAGGTGCTTTTAAAATTTGTATAGCTGGTTTTTCTGGTATATACTATCTAGATATGGTATTATATAGATTATTTGTATGATATCTAGTTTCTGTTATCTAGTTTCAGATATCTTGTGTTTGGTTTCTAGTGTTTGGTATCTAGTGTCTGGTATCTAGGGTCTGATATCTAGTGTCTAGCATCTAGCTTCTGGTATATATAGTGTATAGTATCTAGTATCTGGTAGCTACTGACTCGTATCTGATATCTGGTATTTAGTATCTGGTGTTTGGTATATAGTGTCTGGTATCTGATAATTTAGAATTATGAATGCACTGTAAGATGCAAATCCTTCAAATCTATTCTAATCCTTCTACAAGACATGTTTCAGCTTGAAGGTGAACTACTATTCAACAGTTGCAACTTCCTTCTGTATTAAAATCAAAACTGCATCACTCTTTTGTTACCATCCAGTCTCTTCTATATAAACAGTTTGACCCATGGAAAACAGGGATTAGCGTTTAAATCCCCCAATATTCTTTTAAGTAACATTTTTTCTTTCGATGCTTCCGTTTGGCTCAAAACCATGTCTAATTTGTCTGCTAGCTTTAAACAATTAATAATTTTCATTATTCTATTCAAATCTATATTGCAGAGAGAAAACAACTTAACGATACTTAAACATCATGATAATGAATACTTATTTAGGTTACTATAATGTTTATAATTTAAATAATTTCTAAAAGAGGCCCCAATTTCCAAAAAATCGTCTATTCCAAGGTCCATCAAAGGTGTTCCAGCCATGGTACCGGGGTTTCTGGAACCTATCTTTTTTTAGGTTTTTCTTCATAGAGTTCTGTGTAAAGAAATACATATACACCTTAGATTTCAGAAAGCCAGGAAGAAAAATCTGAAGGGGTTCAGACAGAATTCAGATAGATGTAAATGAATTATTTGTAAGTAATATTGGTTAGCAAGGTTAACAGAGAGATTTTCCAATATGGAAGGATTGGAAGACAAAAACATACTGAAACGAACCCTTCCAAAATCTTAAACTATATGCCGGGGCCAATTTTTGAGTCTTTTTTAACGATTAAAGGGGCTAAAAAATCCTAATCCTTGTTTTTTGGGTCACCCTAAAGTAGTAATCTCTCTCTGTTTGTGTGTTTGTTTGACTGTATGTCCAATCATAACTTATGAACCTATTGACAGATTTTCCAAAAATATTTGGGATTTGGGAACTCGGTAAAACCACGGGGATATTTTTAGCTTAGATTATAGATTCTGAGTTTCGTGGGTTGGTTTTTTTGTGAAAGTTTAGCTTCCAGGCGAAGCTGGGTTCCCAAGCTAGTTCGAATAAAATATTTCAAAATGATTTCCCTGTTCATATGTTGTAGTCAGTGTAGTTTATTATATAGCTTTAGATAAGAATATTCATCTTGACCGAGGGCAGATGTTATTTTACTTCTGATTTTGAAGAAACTTTAGTTTTATTCAAGAAGAAAGATCAAAATTCTGACCTCAGTTTTGATAAATATCACCCACGTACATATTAGCTAGACATAACACCTTAAATTACAATTTACACTTACAGTACATTCATGTTATGAAAAGCAGGAAATTTTGTATTATTTCTGTGCAATGATGTATGAAGAGAATCTGACAAGGGTCAAACCAGACCGAAACATATTTTCAAAAAATGTGGAACTAATATTCTGTGAGGTTTGCCATTTAGAGCATCTTAAACACAGAATTTTAAATAAAACTGCTTGCGGATTACAGCAAAGCTACAATTATTATAAAAGAAAGGGGCGCAATCACCATTTAACTCTAGTATATAATTCAAACAGAATGTATCATGTATGTACATATTTAAGTTTTTACGAATTCCCCTGATCGAAAAATTTAAATATGGACATTTGGAAGTTGCAAGAAACACAATTACTCCGATGAATGAACACTTTAAAGTTTTTACTTTAAATAATTTAGATTCAATTTTCAAGTTAAGAAACCTTTTCAATAGAACAGGACAGTCCACTCTATTCTTTATTCAATTCTTTTGCAAAAAAACTTGAATTGTCAGGAGAATTTACTTCTCTAGCGAGGAATAAAACTATTCGAAATAGAAAAGGATCGATATAAGGAAGGGATTGGAGGTAGGTAGAGGGAAGGGATTGGAGGTAGGTAGATGGAAGGGATTGGAGGTAGAAAGAGGGAAGGGATTGGAGGTAGGTAGAGAGAAGGGATTGGAGTTAGGAAGAGGGAAAGGATCGGAGGAAATAGAGGGGAGGGATTGGTGGGGGATATAGAGGAGGAAAAGTTGGAGAAGAAAGGGGGGAATATGTGGGGAGGAAAAGGTGGAGAAGAAAAGGGGAAAATATGGAGGAGGAAAAGGTGGAGAAGAAAGGAGGGAATATGGAGGAGGAAAAGGTGGAAAA